AGGAGTTAACTCATAAATTTGGCCAAAAATATGAAAATTGTTTTATAGTTTGTTTTAAACTTTAAAACACATTGAAATAATGTTTGGTGATGTTCTCGAGAGAAAACGATCCTTTCTTGACTCGAAAAGCATGCATGGTATCTAGTCAGTAAATTGGAGATTTCCCAAAGGGGTTAAGCCATGATTTTGGCCAAACCTGTGAAATTTTGTTTATAGTTCGTTTTAACCTTTAAGACACATTGAAATAATATTTCGTAAGGTTCTCGAGAGAAAACAATCCTTTCTGGACTAAAAAAACATGCGTGTTATATCATCCCTTAATTGAGGACATTCCAAATCATGCTTGTTGGCGAAAATATGAAATCTTTTCATGCTTCGATTAAGACTTTAAAACACATTGAAATAATGTATGGTGATGTTCTGGAGAGAAAACGATCCTTTCTAGACTCAAAAAGCATGCATGGTCTCTAGTCAGTAAATTGGAGATTTTCCAAAGGGGTTAACCCATGATTTTAGCCAAACATGTGAAATGTTTATTTATAGTTCGTTCAAGACTCTTAAATCAGTAAAATAATGATTCGTAATCTTCTAGAGAGAAAACCATCCTTTCTAGACTTGAAAACCATGGTATATGGTCATTAAATTGGAGATTTTCCATGATTTTGGCCAAACATATGAAATTTTTTCATGCTCTGTTTTAGACTTGGAAACACATTTAAACAATGTTTGCGATGTTCTCCAAAAAAAGCAATCCTATCTAGACTCAAAAAGCATACATGTTATATAGTCAGTAACCGGGAGATTTTCCAAAGGGGTTAACCCATAATTTTGGCCAAAACTTTAAAACACATTGAAATAATGTTCGGCGTTGTTCTCGAGAGACAATGATCCTTTCTACACTTAAAAAGCATGCATGGTATAGAGTCAATAACTTAGAGATTTTCGAAAGGGGTTAACTCATCATTTTGCTCAAAAGTATGAAATTTTTCAATACTTTGTCTTAGACTTTAAAACACATTAAAATAATGTTCGGTGATGTTCTCGAAAGAAAACGACCCTTTCTAGACTCGAAAAGCGTGCATGGTCTATAGTCATTAAACTGGGGATTTTCCAAAGGGTTTAACCCATGATTTTGGTCAAAAATATGATTTTTTTTTATTGTTCGTTCTAAACTTTAAAACACATTGAAAGAATGTTTCGTGCTGTTTTTAAGAGACACCGATCCTTTCTATAGTTGAAAAGCATACATGGTATAGAGTCATTAATTGAGAGATTTTCGAGAGGGGTTAACTGATGATTTTGCTCAAAGATATGAAATCTTTCAATACTTTGTCTCTGACTTTAAAACACATTGAAATAATGTTTGGTGATGTTCTCGACAGAAAACGATCCTTTTTAGACTCGAAAAGCATGCATGGTATATAGTCATTAAATTAAAGATTTTGTAAAGGGGTTAACTCATGATTTTGCCTAAAAATATGAAACGTTTTATTAATGCTTTGATTTAGACTTAAAAACGCATTAAAATATTGTTTGGCGATGTTCTCCGGAGAAAACAATCCTCCTAACATGCATGTTATATAGTCACTAACCGGGAGATTTTCCAAAGGGGTTAACCCATAAATTTGGCGAAAAATATGAATTTTTTAAACTTTAAAACACATATAAATCATGTTTGGTATTGTTTTCGAGACAAAACGATCCTTTGTAGACTCGAAAAGCATGCATGGTATATAGTCATATAGTCATTAAAATAGTGATTTCATAAAGGGGTTAACTCATGATTGTGGCTAATTATGTGAAATTTTATGCATGCTATATCGTCCCTTAATTGAGGATATTCCAACCCTTGATTGTGGCCAAAAATATGAAATCTTTTCCTACCACGTTTTAGACTTTAAAACACTTTGAAATTTGTTCGATCCTTTCTTGACTCGAAAAGCATGCATGGTATCTAGTCTGTAACTTGGAGATTTTGCAAAGGGGTTAACCCATGATTTTGGCCAAACTTGTAAAAAATTTTTTATACTTATTTTTAAACTCTTAAACATATTGAAATCATGTTTGGTGAGGTTCTTGAGAGAAAACAATCCTTTCCAGACTAAAAAAACATGCACGTTATATCTTCCTTTAATTGAGGATATTCCAACCCTTGATTGGGGCCAAAAATATGAAATCTTTTCATACTTCGTTTTAGACTTTAAAACACTTTGAAATTTGTTTTGGTAATGTTCTCGAGAGAAAACGATCCTTGCTAGACTTGAAGAGCATGCATGGTATATAGTCATTAAATTGGAGATTTTCCAAAGGTGTTAACCCATGAAATCTCTTCAGACTTCGTTTTAGACATTAAAACACAATGAAAGAATGTTTGGTGATGTTCTCTCGAGAAAACAATCCTTTCTTTAAAGACATGCACATGGGCAGTATATAGGTGGCAATTAATGAATTCGGCTTTCGTAGGATATGAAGAATTAAGGAGATCGATTAGGGTGTTATCCACCGAGGCAGAAGGCCGAGGTGGATAACACCCTCTGAGATCTGCTTAATTTTTCATATCCTACGAAAGCCGAATTCATTAATTGCTTTATTATTCATTCAAACTAATTTCTTGTTTAAAAACATGGTTAAAACATGCTTACCTGCATCGATGTTAAGTTCATCTCCGATAGTGTACGTTTAGGTTTGTCCCGCTCCGCAAATATTCTCCAGATAGCAGATGTCGCCCTCCGAGTTGTCGTCTTGCTATGTTTGCCATGTTTTTAGCTATTATTTCGCCTAGTTACAGCTGTAGTTCTTACTCTTGAAACGAGTGCAATGTCCGCCTTTTTTTTTACAACCAAAACAACAAAATCTCGTCCCCAGGTCTTTACGGTAACGGTGCCTTAACCTGTAGCGGCCTGCATTTTTGACGTCATATCCTCGTTGAACACAAAATTCTTTTAAATTTGGTCATCAGTAACTGGTTATGGTGAATTATGCGTGTGCTTTTAGCCAATCAGAATTGGGGAAATATTTTGAATGAATAATAATCATTATTAAGGAGATTTTTCAAAGGAGTTATCCCATTTCATGCATGGTTTTAGACTTTAAAACACATTGAAATAATGTTCTCGATAGAAATCAATCCTTTCTAGACTATAAAAACATCCAATTTATATAGTCACGAAATTGGAGTTTTTCCAAAGGGGTTAACCCATGATTTTAATTTTGATTTAAATTGCAATGAAATAATGTTTGATGTTATCGATCGAAAACAAACCTTTCTAGACTATTAAAACGTGAATATTATATAGTCACCACACTGGAGATTTTTCAAATTTCCTTTTACAAACTTTAAAATACGCTGAAATAATATTTTGTGATGTTTTTGATAAATACAAGCCTTTCTATACCGTAGAATCGTACATGTTATACAGTCTTTAATTTGGCGTTTTTCTAAAGCGTTAACTTATTAATATCATAGGTGACGAATTACTCCTTAATTTTGGCGCGAAATTTCAGCGTTAATTTGAAATTTCACATGTGAAATTACAAAATTGCTATGGCAACCTTCCGTACGTCTCGGTGTCGAGATGGCGACGAAGTTTTAAAATGTCATGAATTAATGATGTCAGGGCAGAAAAAGACGCTTTAGAAAACCTGAACACACGAAAGAGCACATGTAGAAGGATTCTAACAGATATTTTGTCGAAAAACTCTGAACTAAAGCCAAATTTAAGCTCTAAACGTTCGAGAGAGTGCAGGAGTTCTCGATCGATACGATCCAGGATAAACATGTTTAAAATCCAAGATAGCTAACGCAATTCGTCACCCATGATATTAATAGGTAATCAAATGGTATACTCGTGAAATTAGGGAATAATTTCACTTGCGTTTTGTCCAAATCCTAATAATTTCCCTCGCCTTAAAACGCGCGTAAAATTATTCCCTAATTTCACTCGTCACCATTTGATTACACATACGAATTTTGGCCATATTTACTAAAGTGGGTATTTTCCAAAGGGGTAACTCATTTTCTTCTTCTTCTTTTTTATGCTTCGTTGAGGTTTTAAAAATGGAATGAGATAATAATTATTTTGTTATTTTCCGGATAGAAAGTCTGTACAATAAAATCGTCCATCTTATCTAGTCACGAAATTGGAAAGATAGCGAAGTACGTTGAGTAATATTTAGAGAGCGAGAAGTAAGCCATATCGTGTTGTTTGGCCCTCTATTCCCATTAATTCTCGGTGTTTTTCAATTTGGTACCTTCCCCATTTTTTAAACGCCATGAAAAAGCTATTTGCTTTGTTTTTTGCCTTGTTCTACTCTTTCATTTAACCATAGTTAATTGAGTGGAGTGGTTATGAAACCCGTCAGACTCCTTTGTTATATGTTTTTGTGGACCTGAAAGTGCACAACGAAGTTTTCTTAAGGATAGTAAAACTAACATAACTGGTTATTTTTGCAACGTAATTAAATAAGGCATTGAATTTGCCAACAGAAAACAAAGGATTGTGCACTTTCAGGGTGCTTCCAACATAAACTGCAGCCTTGTTGTTTTTATCACTGATGTTTGCCGCTTTTCATAACCAGTCTCCTCTAATAACTATGATTTAACTATTTTTTTTATGGTTATTTTTTTCCGCGAGATCCGGAATTTTTTTTTTTTCCTAATCATTTAGTCCCATTACAGCGCGCGTACTGACAGGCAATGTCTAATTGAAGCGCCATTTTGACGTTGAAATCAAGACTGCATAAGGTGTTCCCAGTCACATGGCAAGCAGCTGTGCGAATGGACTATTTTCGATATCTTAAAATTCAAAATGAAATAAAACAAAAGAATGTATTATTCACTGCTGAGCCTCAAGATAATTTGTTTTGTTTTATTTCCCCAACCCTCGCGTATCTGAGGACACAAAAAATTTCACTCAGAAGCCATTATTTCATGTGGTTTTGATACAGAATTACAGTACACAAGACTTTTTCACAAAGTTTTTTTATTGAATGTTAACAGGCAGGTCAGAAAAAAAGTTACAATGTCGAAAGAACGAAGAAATAGAAAACAAGTGATGATCTACATCCGAACTTCTTGTTAGGGCTTATCGCATCAATTTAAGGGAGAAACTATTTTACGGTCTTTGTAGACCAAGAAAAAATTTCAGAGCACGATTGACTCATTAGCCACTGTCGACAAAGTAGGCAATGCAAGAATTAATAAACATCATGTTCAATAAATTAAAATATCTTCTGTATAATTAATTTGATAGAATCTCTCGTATAAACTGAACAGTCCTCAGATACCGTTCATCTGTTTGGCTACTGGGCTTGCAAACATCCACATGGTCTACGTCCAGGGGTACAAATTCCCCCACACCCAGATCTATAAAGAGCGACAAAGAAAATCAATAAATAAAAAGCGCTCCGGTTCCCTCGTGTTTGTGATTTGATTTTTGACACCGGTGTGCGAAAATTAAGACCGGTAATAACGTATATGGTTAATAGTCGAACCATAGGGATATTAACGCGTAACTGCTGGGTAAAAAGGATAATCAAATCCTCTAGCCATCTATATTTATAACTGATGCTTAACGTTACTTCTTCTTCAATGACAAATGCAATCAAATTTGAGCGTTTGCTGTAGATACTTTTTCTTTTCACAAAGAGACTAACACAAGATGATTGACGCCAGTTTGATTGACTAATGGGAAATAATGGATACATAGATAGACGCACGCTTGTAAGGAAAAAAATGAAATAATGGGCGCAAGATTTGATGTTGAATGGAAAGACACATGAACACGAATTCAAACATCCAAAGACGAATCAAGCAAGCAAGATGGCTCCATTCTTGGATGACTTAAGAATTGAAAATGGATTTTTGATTAACGACTAAACAAAATGCATCAAAAGACTGGTTGTCACTGGATACAATAGACACCTTAAGCATCAGGTTTTTGTGGTTAACGGCAAACGGAAAACTTAAGGATGTCTCGTGACCATGGCGTTGCGATCATGCTTGCAGTTTGCAGTTCACGTTTGAACGCTAGGAAGGGCTTCCAGCGGTAAATGATTTAAGACAAGAATTTTTTGCCATTATGAATTGCACAGCCTCACCTTTAAAGGCACGAAATATGTTTCTTCATCCACCTGGAATGTGCTACTTAAAATTTGAATTCGAATCAATGAACTCTTCATGTTTTTTAGGCGATCAAAGTGAAGCTCTTCCTATTGACGAAAAAAAACATGGCGGCACTAAACAACGAACGTTTTGCTAAAATTCGAAATTTGAACAAAATTTCGAAATCTGCAAGCGCGTAACTGCAAAGTGCATTTTACAATTTTCCGTTTCCCAAGAGAAACCTGACGCTTAAGGTCTGTAATATCTGACGCCGGTTAGTGATGGCCACTCACCTGCAGAATCATTGGTGACAAGCACCGTTTGGAACATCCACGTGAGCTGCATTGGTACAGTCTCTCCATAACTGAGTAGCCTTATAGGGTGGCGTTTTACCAAGTCCAGAAAATTCTCATGAAGTCGAGCCAGGAAAGGCGATTCTGTCACAAAAAGAAGCATAAAAAGTATATCCTAAGCATAGATAGTATACTGTATACTCCTTTAACCTAGAACATTTTAATGAAAATTGTTCAAGAAGATGACTCCAAGGCAGTCAAGGAATAACTGTTGCTGGACAGCATTAGATGAGGTAATTGTTCGCTATTAGTACCACATTGCGAGGCAAACCAAGAGTTTGTGTTCGCTAACACTGTCCGCAGTTCTCAATTTAGTACCGCTTCAATCAATTCTTTTTTACACACACAATGTAGGGTTGTCACTAAGGGCCGGGGGCCGGGGATTTCCCCTGGCTACTCAGAGCATGGCCTTCGGCTACTTTCGTCGTTAAATTAAACCAAAAGAGCACACCTTTGAAACACACAAAGACTATCCTTCAAACTAAATGCAAGTTTCATCTGCAGCAGGCTTAATTGAAATACTCGCGTGCAAAAACTAAGAAAGTAAGAAATGTCGGAAAAAGACATCTGTTACTGCACGACTACGACGTGAAAATACCTAGTTTCACGTTTTATGGAGGACGTAAACAAGCGACGACAAACTTTTCTTTCTCTTTCTAAACTTGAGTGCGGTCCCAAAGAAATCAACTCGAGGGAAATTGGCCTACATTAGCTATTTTCAGCGAATTGAAATAAACGCGACAAAGTTGGAAAAAACGCTAATTCATTATAAAAGTGACGTTTTCGCTGCCATCACCTTTGTCGATGCTAAAAGTCCTTAGTTTCAACCGTTGTGTCGGCTTTGTGTTGAACATGTCGAAGTAGCCGCCCCGCAGACGTCCTTTGGGGTTCGTTTGTCAGGCATTCATTTCTCCCCCACGGTCCGTGGGGGAGAAATGAATGCGTGACGAACGAACCCCATTGGACGTCTGTGGGGAGGCAAAGGAATCTGCACTCTTTGTTCACGATGAAAGACCTGAGCAGATCTCTGTTGACATCACAGAAGAAGTTGAGGCTTCATCCCAGCGTTAAATCTCCCTAATGCTTATGTTGATAATAATGAGGATTATGATGAAGGCTTTGAAGATGAAGACTATGACTGATTGCTATGTTTAATAAATTGATATTTAAGTGACCAGGATTTAGGTATCGAGTATATCGAAGTATATAAAATAATGCACGGTCAACGGGAAATGTTCGATCATTGTCCGCAGGTCATGATCACATCCTCTCAGTTCTACTTCCAAGAAGTTGTATATAAAAGGGAAGTTAAGCATTAGCACTCATTACTTTTGCATTCTTCTCCTCGAGTCTCGTTTTGACATCTCACCGTCGTTTATTAAGTATTAGCCGTGTCTCTTAAACGCTTTTCCGTAGGTCAGTTTCTTCGTATGTTAAGTGATTTGTCGTTTCTAAATTCGAGACCACTAATGTTACCAGTTGTATCATATTTTATCCGCGATTTTTCAAACGTTATGTTTGTTTTAGCCTTATCATACTTTTATTTTTCAACAAACTATAGTAACCTTATGCTTTCTCGTACATTCATCATCCGCTTGTCTTCTTTCCGCTTCTCCGTGGGTTAATTCGTTCGTAATATTAGTTTTACTTTTGTTTTCCGTAAGTTGTTTCGTTCTTACGTATAACTAAATGAGGATTTACAATTTATTTTACAGCGCATGTTAATTCATTTGCACCATATAAGAATCGATTGTCCTTTCCACATTTTTAACTTTTGTAAAGTATCGTTGTGATTTAACACTTCACTGGCCAGCATGCGCCTTGTCTGCGTGAAGATAAGACAGCGCAGATAACGTGACCGGTGCCTTCATGTCATTTTTTTCAGACCCGGTGCTTACATGTATATTCCCATTTGGCGGCCACTAAAAAAACCCTCCAACGAGCCTTTATGTAAAGTAAAAACTTCTTTAATAAAGACGTGATCATCATAAAACCGCTAATGATAGCTGTACTCTTGATGAAGATTGCTTTTTGGGGGGCGGTAATGCCTTTTGGAAAACGGTAGAAGTTGCACTTCAAACACTTCTTGGGTGGGGGGGGGGGTGGGGGGGGGGGGGGGGGGGGGGGGGGGGACTCCATGACTGCTTGCGACTTCCCCGGCTGCTTACAACAAATACCCGGCAACTTGAAATCTTAGTGACAACCCTGCAATAAAATTCCTACTGTTTCTACGAAAGTTGCACATGATGCCATCACAACGAGGTTATACAAAAGAATGAAAAGAAACTAGGTAACATGCACATTACGACCGAAAAGCTAAAAGTAACGGTTCCTGAAGACTAAAAGCACCTCCCCAAAAAAGCCTACAGAATAAATGTTAATCACTTAGTCAATCCCCATATCACTGAATCAGCGAGAAAATTAGTTGCAACAGCTCAACGACGGTTCTCCCGTTTTACCGACATTATATGAACCTACTTCAAAGCGAAAAATGCGAGCTTTCCCCTTACCCAACAACCCCTATAACGCTTCTTACCCGTAGAAAATAATAAACAAGTCTACATTGGTAAGGTTGTGAGGGCGGGTCTCCGATTGTCATGTTGTCCATTTAATGCCCCATCTAACAACAGTACCAAGACAATTTTTCGCCGAAAGTAGCAATCTTTTGTGTTTATCGAAGAGGGAAAGAACAAAAAAAAGCACTTACTTTGGCACAATTCTTTCACTTCCACGGATGGGAGGATCAGGTGACGGGCCTGAGACGAATAAGAGGCTAAGGCTGAGCCCAAGTGTGGTGTGCTGTAGAACACGATACCTTTCGTGTTGTCGTACATGCAACTATAAACAGTAATTAAAGTTAAAGTAAGTCTAATTCATTGGAGTGAGAAAAACAAACATGAAAAAATAGAAAGAAAAGAAAAAAAGGTGTTGAAAAGAAAAAAGTAGCCAAGAAATTATTGAGGACATGTTACCGAAACTCGTCGTTTCGCTCTGCATCCAAAAGTAATTGCTTTACTAGCAGACCTAAAAATAATGTGCATCAAATATGAGAAAGGTGAACAAACCATCGTGTTACAATCACTCATAGAAGAGAGGTTGCTACTTGAAAATTGAAATCGTCATTGAAGATAGATGGGTTTTTTTTACCGGTATTCTAAAGGAAGCTAGTCAATTTGAACTGCTTTATCTGGATCCGAATCCATTGTTTACCGCAGAAATGATAGCAACGTTTACAGGACGCACAAACAAACATGACGTCTAAACCTAATTTATTGATCTCGTAAATACAATGAAACTATGCACCGAAAACTCAAAGTCCTTCTGTTCGAGAATCCTTGAATCCTGTGTCAAGAAATTTATAAAAATTCAAACAGTAAGAACTGCGACCAAATGGAGTTAAACATAAAAATGACTACTCAAAACGTTAAAAGAGGGTATAAATAACACAGTAAATGCAAAAGGAGACACGGATGGACAAACTTGAAGAAGATTAAAACGGATTGCAATTGTGGTTTTCAAAACCTTGTTAGCCTAACAGTTCACCAAAATTCATTTTCGTTGTTTGCAACTTTTGAAATATTGTTTGGGAGACGCATTTGTTAGACACAAAGCTCTAATTTCCTCATTCACAAATAATTTGTCAGTTTCATAGCTAATAAGGACGTGTTATTGGCATTATAAACAAAATGAACCAGCCAGCCTTGAACAGCCCCTTTAGGTTACTGCCAACAGTGCATGTACTTTTGCGCTCGAAATGGGCGAAATAAATTATTTACTTCGCTAAGCGCGGATAAGTGGAAGGCACGTTTACTTTACGCGGTGATTGTTTCTTCTCTCTTTTAGCCTGAGTGTCCTTTATCTGGATTTGGTTTTACTCTGGAGAATCTCAACGATTGCCACACCCGCCACTGGACGGCAAAAAACTCGCTGACTTTGACACGATTTTTCCTGACATTGCATTAATATATTTTCTCCTGCTTTCTGCAACTCATTAGTATCGTTTTCTTCATTTTCAATCCGTTCACGTTTTCACAAAAAACAGTAAGAGAATCCGATTGACTAAAAGTAATGTCTCTCATCTTCACGAAAACCTGTAGCAACCAGCTAAAATAAGTGACTCTTCACTGACTTGCCAAGTCTTTCCCTGAATTTTTACAAAATGCAATGACTCGTAAACTTTTTGCACTGACACTGAAGTTTTCACAAAAAGTCGTTCTGATATGTATTCAGTTATGAATAACGTACCTCCCATGGAATGAACCACCCATATCACGGGCCTTTTACCCACTCCTGCTTTTCGTAACTTGCGTCTTATCTCCTCGCTTCGATACATCAAGGACCGACTAACAAGGGCATATTGTAAAACCATAATTAGTTGTCGATCTAGTCATCATGATCTAGGGATAAGGAATTTTTTTTGTTTGCTTTAAACAAATGGGTGTAAAAGGGAATTTACACAGGACGACAAGTGTACTTAAACTTACGTCTCAGGTTCCTGAGGACATTGAGATACCCAATGTGAGAGTGAAGTGTCATACTCAACCATAAGGACACGGATGTTAGGAATATCACGTACCAGCCATGACTACAACAAAGTAAAAAGCACGTTTCAAGTAGAGGATACGCTTACGCGCACGAATGTCCTCGAATTTACATTACAAGATGGTCTTACGATGATCACTAGGATTTTAGGCCCTTTTCAGCCAGTCTTCGCTTGGTACAAACTGCCATACTAGAGAGCAAGAGAGGCACTTGGAGAAGACAACAAACAACAAAAGAGATTACCATTTTAAATGATGTAAACTGTTTGTTTATCTTTTCCGAGTGCATCTCTTGCTCTATAGCATGGGGATTTTGTACCCCGTGAAATGCAAAGCACCTAATACAAGATGATATGGCCTATTCCGCGAGCGGGCACGTAGAAGCGATGATGCGTTCTGATTGGCTAACCGAGCGCTCGGAATTTTCGGCTTTGTCCTGCAAAAACAGATTTTGTTTTAGCCATATCTTAACTCCAAAACTGTTTGGTAGTGGTCTCGTTTATTTATTTACCTCGACGTCTTTTAATTCTCTGTCGATAAAAACGCCAAAACAAGCGATCTTGACCTCACGCTTGGTCAACAACGCAATATTTATCTAATAATTAAAAATTATTGGATGGGGCTGAGTATCATCTGAAGAATTATGGAGAAGGAGGCTGTTAAATCGGCCTCGGCGATAACACCCTCCGAGATCCACATAATTCTTCTGATGATACGAAAGCCGAATTCAATGGTTGTTTTATTATTCATTCAAAATAATTCCTAGTTTAAAAACAAGCTAAACCATGCTTACCTCCATCGATGTTAAGTTCATCTTCAATTGCCTATTTATCGGCAAGTTTAGGAGAAAAAGGGTTGTTTAGTTCTGCAAATATTCTCCCAATAGCAGATGTCGTCCCCCGAGTTGTATTATTAATGTTCTTGCCATGTTTTTTGTTAATAGTTCGCTTATTTCTTCCTCGCGAAACGAGTGAAATGTTCCCCCATTATGTACTCACTACCAAAAACAACCCAACCTCGTCCCCAGGTCTTCTCGGTTAACTGTCCAGTATTCTGGCAATTATGCTGTAAAATTGACGTCATTTTTCAAATGTCGCAAACTTCTTCCAAATTTGGTCAACAGTAGCTGGTGATGATTAATTATCCGTGGGAATTTAGCCAGTCATATTCGGAGAAATATTTTGAGCAAGAACGCTCCTAAAAGTCTCGATTGCTTGGAGATTAGATAAGAAATGATGAGGCGATTAATTCTACACAAAACAGGATCTCTTTGCTAAATGTTTTTCACTTCCTACTTTATCGACGGTCGAGTACTCTTCAGGATATCTACTTTTCATATCGTATTCGACGATTTGTTTCTGAATTGATTAAGAAAGTGTGCGTAAATACACGAAAATCAAGGGCCTGGATTCGACAGAAATTACATCATTGCCAAAGAGCAGAAACGAAATGAACATGGCGCGTGATTTCAATCATCGCCGAAAATAAACAGCATGCTCATTACAAGACATATTTACATACAATGAACGTTTACAAGACCTGACCAGTTAGCCTCGCCGTCGAAGTATTGCATTAAGATTCTTATTTTTTCTTGGCAACTGAAGTAATCATTTCTTTCAAAGTAATCAACGCTTTCAAGCGATAGAATTCGTGGACTGACCCGTTCTGGAAAGGCTCAGCATCTTTCGCCTTAATCTTTTCTAGGCTTTCTATGCATGGCTTTTGTCACGCCGCCATTCTTATTCCCACTTCCCATGGTCTCCGCTAAGAACTCCTGGGGCCATGACTCCCCATTTGGCGCGCGCACATGAAAAAAAAAAAAAAAGAAACACTTGTGTTTTCAGAGTTTCGCAGCTAAAGGAAGAGACTAATAAATAATACTTGCTGTTATGAAATTATTTGCTTACGTGTTTGTAAGTTGCAAGATATGTTACGTCACACAGTTTTACAAGCAAATACCTTAGGCCAGCAGTCTGTACCGTCTTTCTTCGCAGCGTTCTTTTCCTGCTGCCTCCAAGTCATGAAAGGACCTCCACGGAGCCCGTGGACAAAGATGACGTCAGCTGCAATCTTGGAGCTGAGGGAAGAACGAGAACTTAGCCTTTCCTCACTTGTACATTTTAATTGTTTAGTACACGTTTCAGACAAGAGACCTAACATCTTATCTTTTGCCAGCTCAAAATGCAGATCCCATTACAGGCCAGTAAGAAAAGCATTTCTCAATTCAGACACCAAATTTAAACTCTTCACCCCACACTTTGGCAATTTCGATCCCAGAGCCCATGTGACTTCAATAATCAATCAAACCCTCTTAAGAGGAATAAATACGTCCCTTTAAGTCTGAATTGTAGCTCCGTGGGATTGTAGCAAGAGTATTCTACTTACGAGTACCGTCCCTCGGGATGAAGAAGGTAAACACCGTCCTCGTAACACTCATCCTTACAAAAGTCTCGATCAAGATTCGCCAGGGTTCGGACAGCGTGACTGAAAAGAGCCAAGTCCTACAAAAAAGTGTCTTGCGGTCATTTATCTCACATTTCTTAGGTTTTCCGCTTATCACCAACAGGGTGTAAAAATATAGATGAAGTCTTGTCTTCGTCTTTGGCTACGTGCAAACGGACGCAACATTGTTGGCCAACAACTCCCAACATTGTTGGATGTTACATGTTGCGTCCGTTTGCACACCCTGTTGTATGTTATTGGATGTTGTTGCGCAAAGTTTGAAACCGGTCAAACTTTTCAGTCAACAACTCCCAACATTACTGGGAGTTGTTGCATCCGTTAGCACACCACTGCCAACACGGACGCAACGACTCCCAACATTGTTGGCGCAACAATGTTGGGAGTTGTTTCCGTTTGCACCTAACTTTACTTCAAAATTTTCGGAAATAAATTTCTAAGGCCTCGCTTTTTGCTTGATCAAACTGCGGGAACGACCTAGTCTCCCCAACTTGTCAAAATTTTGACAGGTAAATTCATGCGTGAAATCTTCTGCAGCGTCTACATTATTATTTTTTTTTGTGCGGACGGAAGGCCGGTCCGTGTAAAAACGTATGCGGTTTCAAAACTATCCGCATTCGTGTGGACAAAGCCTAAGTTCCCCCTGTGTGTTTTCAACTTACATCAGAGTACAGCCACGAACGTAGAAGCGGTAAGCAACCTACAAAATAGAAGGACAAGGGTGTGTTAACTTAAGATTGAAGCAAAAAGCCGACTTTTTGTGATGCGAAAGAAACTTATGGTTTTGATAAACGGTAAGAGAATACACCCTTCCTAACCGAAAATTAGGACGCTTGGATTATGAAATTCCAGTTCTCAAACAGATCAAGTTCCCGTGACGTAAAAAAGTAGTCCGCCTGGCGACAGCTGCCGGAAGTGAAAAATATATTTTCGATCGTTACTGCGCCCGTTTTCGTAGTTAATTTTAAGTGGTCGTTTTAGAGCATTCACCGAGCAACCAACCTTGTTCCACCATGCCATCATGGGCACTTTCCTCCAGAGCCAGGTTACCAAGTAACATACCGATTTCTCGTTTGATTCTCAGGCTGTGAAAGCGGTGCTTAATTTCACGGAATATCACATCTAAAACTCCATTTTCCACCATTAGAGAGCGATGGCTTGGGACCTGCAACGATAATATTGACTAAGCTGCTATTTTGAAACGAAAGTACACTGAAAACCCCGCCTTTTGATCACTCCCCCGAGACGAATGACCACCCCGTTATTACGAAAGAGCACGTTGACTGATTCACCTATTCGCTTTGACAAGGCTGACCCAATCCCTCTAAATAATGTCCCGGACAAAATCCTTAGAATAGTTTCGTGATTTTAGTGGCATTTTATATCGAGCTGTAGGCACCTAGTATGCCACTCGGCTAATATATATATATGTTATTCACCGGCTAGGAGGTCCGTATTGGGTGAAACTGTGCCCGAGGTCTTGAGTACCGAGGTAAGATCGAAAACAAAATACCGCCCTCTCCCGGAACCAATCAGATTGCAGGATTTGGAGGATTCCGCCCGCTCGAATTTGTAAGACGACGATAAGACGCGCGTGTCATCGTTTTTCGAGTGTGCTTCTTTACCTGTAGTTCCTAAAGCGAACCACCCTTTTCCGTTTTGGGACGTTAGAACTGGCCGGACGCACCAGTCTTTTTTACAACAACCCATAACATCTGAGTATACCATTTAGGAATAAACTGATCCGGCTAGATAGTCCTGATTACTAGTGTAATTCTCCTTACGATTGGACTGGTCTGGCCAGCCAGTTCTGACATATGGTAAGCGCTCAAGATAAACAGGGACGTATTACTACGTAGCAAACTGTATTTCTACCATAGAGTGCCTGGTAAGAGCTTTGAGGTAATACAATTCCACCAGTTCTGCTGGCATAGAGCTGAGCGTGTGCGCAAAGGACAAGCTATCACCACTGAAACTCCAAAACAGAGGCTGTGGATATCAAGGAAAAAACGACATACAACAATTAGCATGAAGATGATTTCCTGATGAGCGTCCAATCACGACTTTGTAAAGCATCGTTTCGTCTCGTGATTGGCTTAAGCCCCTCATTCCACCCTCCTAAAGCCAAGCAAGTTTTCATGACTAGTCTGTAATTGCAATAGAGAAAATTCACGTTTTGTCGCCATCTGTCGGCTTAACAAAACGACAAACATACACGCTACAATTCATCAGGCCGATCTTTCTATCCTTCGGAAAGTTTGGGGAAAAAAAATCAGTTTAAAATTGAGCAAGTTTCTAAAATTTGTTGTAGTCTAAAAGATATAAGAAAATAGGGCTGATTATTGTATTCGCCTCACGTTTTGGGTCCCAGATGGGGCAAACAATCGTAAAAAAACCTGCTAAGCCGGCCTTAAACCAATCAGAACTGATCAGAAGGAAAACATTACTCGTACTTCGTTTCCTGCGCTGGTTTACACGTAGAAGTAATCACTTGCATAAGAATGATAACACGCGCAATGTAAACATATTGAAATTTGGGCGACGGATGCAACTGAAGGACTTCGTGACGGACGCCATGTTTTAAAGGCTTCTACTTGCGTCGCGCTGGTTTACACTTTCCACACAGGTATATTAAGTACAAACACAAGAAAATTAAAAAAGTTTGTTTTTAATGCATATGCTTAAATATGCCTGTGCTTATATTGCACAGACCCGGTTTTTGATTTACTTTTCATTTATATATGCTTATGCATAATTATGTCAACACGTATTATTAGTCGGCCTATCGCTATAAAGATGAATTGTTGTTCGCAGCAAAATTACCAAACGTTAAATGATTTGCTTAGCTCATCTGTTAGTTCTCCGGTCGGTAAGGCGAGAAGTTGTGGACTCGATTCCCGGCTGGACAAATACTTATATTTAAATAATTAACAAATGGCGAGGGCAGTATCTTAGCCCTGTAAACGTTTAATTATCATCACAAGTGTATATATCTTACCCTGCGATGCTGGCTTGCTGACTTCCCGGTTAAGATTGCATTCCTGGTGAACCATATTGTGCAAGGATCCAGACCAGAAAGAGGTAACTTCAACAGTAAGGCTTTCAGATCACTTTCAATGGATCCAGGGGATGGTATTTCAACCTTCCGGCCATGCAGAAGAAAAGAAAAAAAAGAAAGAAAACCCTCTTTATTACTAACAGTTTAAAAAGTAGTATTTAGCACATTTAAAAATGATGAAGCAAGACTAATATAGTACTAAGGTGTTACCTCCTCTCTATCATTTGGAAGTTTCAACGTCAAATGAGAATGACGCCGAAGCGCGCAGAAAGGACTGAACACAACTACCGGTACTCAACTTGCCGTACTGCTATCGGTATCTACTCGAGGAACGAGGTGGGACGGCCGCCGTATTGGCAGGCTATTGTCACTGTTGCCACACTGTCTTGCTCGAAGGCGACGGTAGACTTCCTCGCGATTATTCCATCTCTCAAAATGTGTCAAATGAAGGCAAATACCACGGGCATGTTAAAACCCAGCACACCCGCTGAACACCCCGAAAACCTGGCGGTTGGTACGTATGTAAAATGAAAACAAACAAATAGAAAACCTAAACCTAATCTGTATAATATTAAAATCAAATGCTCTTTCTGCTGCTTTATTTGTTTGACATTTTTTTCTTCTGGAGTGACTAGAGTAGGATTCTTAGCGACTGCACTCAATTATAAAAACAAACAAACAAAAACAACAAAATAGATGGAATTATTTGCCGCAACTTGTTACCATCTCCATAAAAATTGAAATAATTAGGAAATTTTACATCGCAGTCGCACATTGAAGGTAAACAAACAATACCAAGTGCAGATGGTTGTTGTTAAGCCTAATAAACCTGTTGCGTGGTTTCTGACGTTCTCGTTGTCGTCCGCCATCATAGTAACATTTTTAGTTTTAAACAGCAACAACAACTAAAAAACATTTTCCAGACGCTCTGGAAAACGTCCTTTGCCTTAACATCAGCTTGTCCCAGCTCGTTCCAGAAAGTGAGAGGGTAAATTAGTAAGCGTTACCCAGTTTTCTCACATTTTTCTCGCAGAAATCTCGTTTGTCAATAAATTAAGTTTCAGGTCTTTCGGAAGTTTAGTTTTGCACAAGGTAATTTTCTTGTTTGTGATATTTCTGTTGTTGTTATTTTTTGTTTGTCTGTTTGTTTTTACACAGAGTTAATAATTGCTAGATGTAAATGTAAGTGTACCTCAGATTCTAGCCTATGTATTCCCAGGAGCCTGGTGTCAAGTCCTGGTAATCTGGCAAGACCAATCAGTATTCTGTTATCGCAAGATGCAACCAGTTCATTCAGTTTTTCCGTTTGTTCAGGCTCTATATTCACAAACCAGCAGAAGAGAACTGGTATAAGCCGAATTTTTTATTGTACTTTAATACTGTTTATCGAGTTATTAACCGATAATTACTGAACACAAATGAATTCAATCATATAAAAGTTGTCCACGCCTAGAGATTCCCTCAATTAAAAGAATCCAGTTTTGCAAAGTCAAATCAGTTAGCAATGTCAGCCAGCCTAATATGATGGGAGGGTACTGAGGAACATGTGGACGGCTTGCTACGAACTGTGGGCAGACTACATTCACCAAAAGAACAGTGGCTCTAGTGAAAGAAGTATAGCTAAAATGCAGGTCAAAAGTGTTGGGAGCTTAAGCAAAGACGTGTTTGAGCAATGCACGTTGACCAGAAGTGAGACAGTTTCCCTTTTAATCTGCAAAAATGCTTCAAAATTTGTATTCCTGCGGGCCTTTAGTTTTATAAAGGCAATTCAGCCAAAAATTTGGGGAAAACACTGCCCAATAACAAAAACAGACTACTTCCGCTTGACGTGTGTTGCTCCAAAACATTTCACTAATAGCAAAACTAGTGACCTCACCCCGCCCAATCCAAACAAGTTGAACTCTGAACAACATGGGTGGAAATGAGTCCTTTTTGAGGCGGGGGGGGGGGGGGGGGGAAAAAGGGGTTAAAGTGTAAACCCAAAGCCAAAAAAAAAAAAAAGTTATAAGAAAAAATATAAAATTAAAGGTTTTTAAAAAGATACCCCGTTTTTTTTTACCCTCTTTTTGACCCCAACCAAATTTTACAATTAAATTTTTTTCTCCAAAATACTAAAAAAAAAAAAAAACACAATTTTTATTAAGAAAAAAAAAAAAATAAAAGCAATTAAAAAAAAAAAATGGGGAAAAAAACACCCAAAAAAACACAAAAACACCCCCCCCGTTGCGTTTTTTCTCCCAAAAAATTTACAAAAAAAAAAAAAAATGGCCCCCCCCCCCCCCAAAACAAAAAAAATGAGAATCAAAAAAAGAGGGGGGAAAAGGGTTTTTTTTGGGGGGGGGGGGGGGGGGGGGAGAAAGAGGGGTTAAGTGATGAACCCAAAGCCAATCAAAAAAAATGTTATTAGGAGTTACATGTACTTGAAGGGTTTTTATACAGTGTCCCAGGTTATTTTGACCTCTGTTGTAGTCCGGACCCAATTTAGCATTAATATTCTTTCATCCTACAGTTATACAAAAAAAAAAAAACCTTGACTTTTTAAGGAACAAAGACAAAAACAAAAAAACAACTACAAAAAACAACAACAACAACAAAATCAACTGTAATATTATTAACACTTTACAACACACCATCATTGATCTTGAGTGATGCCAGGATTTGAGTCCCAATTATCCGAACGTCTTCACTATCAAAATCTTGAAGGAAACTTAGGAACTTCTGGGGTGCTGACAGGCTAAATGCCAGTGGAGATGAGAGAGCTGATGAAAATAAACATAAAAATATTATGTTGCAATAAGTAAATAAATTGCAAAACATCATCATGGTGAAATAAAAATAAAAGATATCCCAGTACGTACAATGCATTACTTGGGATTCTAATAAGTACAGTACTGTGCCTAACCATAGAGGTTCTCAAATCAAATTAAATTATCTAATATTCAACATAAAGATTTACTGACTGCGCTTTACTGATTCATGAAATGTGTTTTCCTTGGCAACCAGTTCGGATTTTGCCGGCAGCTTGTGAGACATCTGGAACCAAGAATACAGTAATGTAATCCTATTACTTGGCAAACGATAGGACCTACCGACTTTGTCAACCCAATACTTCTTAGTTCCATGCATTGGCCTCACATTGCCTGACCATAATATTCATAATGGTCACTTAAGGAAAACAAATTTGTCATGCAACAAATTAAGTATCTTTATTCAAATATTACAATGCGGTCTCTCAAAATATCTATACCTCCCCCACAGAAGGGATTCTTCCTTAGACCCCCCCCCCGACCCACCTCTCTGGAAATTCCAATCATGTTTCATACATTAATTTAAGATTTCGGGCCTTTGAGAGCCCCCCTCCCCTCAGGAATTTCCAATCCCTTCTGTTGGGGGAGTATGGATATTTTCTGGAACTACACAATAATCTGTTTTCTTTTTTTCAAATGGTAATTTTATGTTATGTTATGTTATGTTATGTTATGTTATCTTATATTATGTTATGAAATGAAATGATATGATATGATATGATATGTTATGTTATGTTATGTTATGTTATGTAATGTTATGTAATGTTATGTACTGTAAGTAATGTAATGTAATGTTATGTTATGTTGTTATGTTATGTTATGTTATGTTATGAAATAAAATGAAATGAAATGATATGATATGATATGTTATGTTATGTTATGTAAGTAATGTAATGTAATGTTCTGTTCTGTTCTGTTATGAAATGAAATGAAGTGAAATGATATATGATATGATATCATATCATATGTTATGTTATGTGATGTGATGTGATGTAATGTAATGTAATGTTATGTTATGTAATGTAAGTAATGTAATGTAATGTAATGTAATGTAATGTAATGTAAGTAATGTAATGTAATGTAATGTTATGTTATGAAATGAAATGAAATGATATGAAACGTTATGTTATGTTATGTAATGTAATGTAATGTTATGTAATGTAAGTAATGTAATGTAATGTAATGTTATGTTATGTTATGTTATGTAAGTAATGTAATGTAATGTAATGTTATGTTATGAAATGAAATAAAATGAAATGATATATGATATGATATCATACCATATGTTATGTTATTTTATGTTATGTTATGTTATGTTATGTTATGTTATGTTATGTGATGTGATGTGATGTAATGTAATGTTATGTTATGTAATGTAAGTAATGTAATGTAATGTAATATTATGTAATGTAAGTAATGTAATGTAATGTTATGTTATGAAATGATATGAAATGTTACGTTATGTTATGTAATGTAATGTTATGTTATGTAATGTAAGTAATGTAATGTAATGTTATGTTATGTTATGTTATGTAAGTAATGTAATGTAATGTTATGTTATGTTATGAAATGAAATGAAATGATATATGATATGATATGATATGTTATGTTATGTAATGTAATGTTAGGTCATGTAATGTAAGTAATGTAATGTAATGTAATGTTATGTTATGAAATGATATAATATGATATGATATGATATGATATGATATGTTATGTTATGTTATGTTATGTTATGTTATGTTATGTTATGTTATGTTATGTTTAAGCAATAGAAAACTTTTTCCGTGTTTGCATAGCCTGATATAAACACGAGAGGGGTTGGGAGAATTCGAGACAGTTATGCAAACCCGAGACGAAGTCGAGGGTTTGCATAACTGTCGAGAATTCTCCCAACGCCTCGAGTGTTTATATCAGGCTATGCAAACACAGGAAAAAAGTTTTCTATTGCTTTTATAAAATAACTTTCCCGAGAAAAAAACGCAAAAATCTTTGTAAGGCACTGATTAAAAGAGAAATTCTTACCAGTCGCAAAATCTTGTCCACGAAGTCTTGCACGCGCAATCAGTTTTTGTTTTGCAAAAAGATGCTTTGCAAAATACGGATTTTTCTCGCTTAAAACGGTCAGCTTAAGCGAAGAAAAATGTACACACCTTCTTTGTAACGATTTTCCAAGTTTCAGCCGACGAAGGAATGGGTAAATAAAGTAAACTTTTTGAGTTTTGAACTCGAAAACTTTTTCAAATTTGTGCTTGCGTGATTAGCGCGCGAAAAACCAAACAACTTGACGCCACAACCATGTTTACATACTCTCATGCAAACACTGCTCTCGGCCAATCAGAGCGCGCGTACTATCTTAGTTATTTTATAAAATGTTATGTTATGTAATGTAAGTAATGTTATGTAATGTAAGTAATGTAGTGTAATGTAATGTAATGTTATGTTATGTCATGTTGCCACAACAAGTATTGGCATACATACATGTAGTGGCATATACATATGGTAAAATAAAATCACACAAAAAGTCATACAAGATATTTGATTTCAATTCAAGGGATTCTACATTTTACAAAGCAATTGAAAAACATAGAGATGTTTCGAGTATGCAACTAATTTGTATGACTAAACAAAGAAAACAAATATTGCCACCAAAAACAGAAAGGTACGAGACTAAAATAAACAAATAAATCAAGCAAAAAGTACGTACATGTAATAAAATAAAATCACACAAAACGTCATACAAGATATTTGATTTCAAGTCAAGGGATCCTACGTTTTATGCTTCTTATATATTGTTAATGCAATAGATTTTGTAAGAGGTTATTTTTAAAGCGAGACCATGTCCGTACAAAGACGTTTGAGTTGTTATTGTGGAAAGCAATCTGCTTTTCAATTTCTATCGTACCTGTATATACACCTGAAGTTCGTTCTGCAGGTGTATATGTAATGTCTAGCTATAAGGAGTAGGTGATGAAAGAGAAGGTCTTTTACGTCGTCAATGAGACCGAAACAGAGAGACAAGGAGGGAGAGACGTTTTCTAAATCTTTGAAACTTTGAGAGATCCACTTGAACATGCTCTTCCAGAAGTTCTGAGTGTGTTTGCAAGTCCAGAATAGATGAACAAGGGTTTATTTCCTCGCAAAAGGAGCAGGAATCTGTTTGTTTGATACTTATTTTGTACAGAAAGTCATTTGTGGCTATTTTTCTGTGAAGGAATTTAAATTAGAACGCTCTAAGCTTTGACTCTCTTGTACACTGAGGATAAATGATAGGCAATACGTATTTTCCCAATTTACTATTATACTAAGATTACAATGTACGACTCTCTATTCCAACCACTTTCCCTGACTTCTTGGTGGTATAGAAGCTTTTTCGTTTATTAGCCATTCATAAATTTTCTTGGAAACTTTGGTGTGAGACAGAAAGGTAACAACTGGATCCTTTGGAGTTGGGTCATGATAAGCTGTAGTGAGCTACGGTAGATATCACTTTGTGATATTCGAGATAGTTGGTTTTGATGCTATATTTATCTATGAAGGCGTTATAGCCTAGAAAATTCTGGTCGTTATCTAACAGATCTCTAATCTCCTTTATCCCCGCGCTCAACCATGATCTGTAGAAGAATGGACGATTTTCAATTCTAATGTGAGAGTCGTACCATATATATGTGAAGGCAAAATCGAGGTTATTGTCTTTGTAATTAAATTTTGTCCAGTACTGTATGATTTCTTTTAATAAAGGGTCTTTGACGTTGAGCAGTGTAGAATCTTGCTGTTTCAAATTGCTTCGGAACAATAGTTTTCCTTTGTACTCCCCTAAGTAATGGTCAAAAAAAAGTTTCCACTTCCCTTTATTTTCTTCACTAAGATCCATTTCATTTTCAAGGATTCATTAAAACTTTGAATATCTAACATCTTAAGTCCTCCTTTCGCGTAATTATTTATCATTATCGTCCTTTTGATATTATCGCCGTTATAACCGTCCCACAGGAAATCGTACAATATAGAGTTCATTGTCTTGAGTATGTCAGGAGGTATAGGAAGAGATGACAATATGTAGACGATTTGTGATACGGCCAGAGTTTTTATGATTGTAATTTTACCCAAGAGGGTCGGTCTTCTAGCCGACCAATTATCTAAGATACTCCTTATTTTGTCAATTTTCTCAAGAAAGTTAGAATTTAAAGAGACCTATCTTCCAAAGACTACACAATAATCTAGAAGCATGTGAGATCCTCCCAATCCTCCAGGTACTAAGTGTAACTAATGTTAATATCTATTTTCACACCTTTTGAGAATTGAGCAATCAGTTCACTTGGTATTTGTATGTTTGACCAGAATATTTTCTGCCATTCACCTGCATGTGAAAATTCCCAAGCTTCATCCAGCCATGGCACTAAAAATAATTAAAGGCTCTTATGAAAAGCCTTTTTAACACAACATGTAATAGGCATTAGAAAAGAGAAAAGGGAAATTCGGGTGCATGAAAACCAGAGGGGCTAAATAACATTTTTGCACACTATAATTCCTCCTTCCCTTTTCGAATGCTTACCACACAGGTTGACACTATTAAGGGTGATGTGTTATACAAAAACTGGTAAACCATCCATTTAACAATCTGGCTCACAAATAATATTATTATGAGGATAGCATCCTACAGTGTAAGCCAACAGCTGTCCACAAACTTTGATATTAGCAAGCTTAGAATGCTGGGGAAAATATCCTGGATGTCATAAATAACAACTGAAGTTTGAAGTTTCACTTGACGGAATGGCACAACGATTTTAACTGCTTTTATTTTTTAACTCTTGACAATGTTGCTGAGTTTAGCCTTGAAAGAAAGAAATGATTTTAAATTTTCTGGGATCACCAAGCCCATATTTTACATCTGGGATATACATCAATACGTTTTGCGTGATAACTCACTTTTATCAGTAGTGAGTCCCTACATACTAAGAAAAAGGTCCTCACCCCCAGATGTTATGTAACCAAACAACTTATAAAACTGAGTCATAAATTTCAATCTGAAGGTTTTTTCTAGGTTAATTCAAGGAGCTCTTTTTTTCATTAACATTGTTTCATATTCTCGTTTTGTTGCTTCAGTATTATCGTAAATATTTATTAATTTTATGATCAATTCAATAATTTAAACTGTAAACCTTTCACACACTCAGCCAGATCAGGGTTGCTGTCCTCTTCATTTGCATTCACAGTCAAATCAAAGCCCGCTACACCAACTCTCTTCTCATCTTTAACTAGAAGACTGTCAATATTATGAGCAATTTCCCATGTCATAAAACCAGCACTGTTAAAAGAAACAAGATTGATAAGCATGTTCATGCAGGGTCCCATGAAATATTTAAAACTGAAATATTATATTCTTAGTTTTCTACCTTACAGAAGGAAATTGGAAATTTCAATGGATCAGAGGCAAACGACTGACTCAAAGCACCCAAAATGAGACACAAGAAATTAACCTCAGGTATGTAGCTTAGGAAAAGCTAAACAGGCTTCTTTATTAGTCAAGCTGTCTTTTCTTCTCAACTGCGCCTTCAAATTAAATTATCCCATGTCTTTTTTTTCCAGAGCAATTTGAGCTAGTGCTGAGATATTTTTCAACCAGTGAAAGTAGCTGCCAGCCCACAGCTCTTAGAGACATCCCTGCCAGTATTTTTTTACTAGTACAGTGTACTGCCTCAATAATCTAATGCCAGTCTTCCTTTGTCATGATGGTTTTGAACAAATAGTGAGTGTCGGAGGTGGACATGGTATCAGAGCTACAGGTGTATAACTTATTTTTCTCACTTGAAAGGTCTAAAGGTTCAGCTAAGTCATCACAGACATTGGTAAAAAAAGGTGGTTTGAATTTGATGCATTTTGCACCTTTAACAAATAATATTGGGCACAGTAGGCAGGGTATTTTCAGGAAGACTCCGATGTCTACTTATTCACTGCAGCAATATGTTATTCTGTTGGCATGTCAATTCAAATGTGCTCTTAAACGTACTAGATTTTTTTCACAACCTACAGAATGCTAGTCTTCAGTATCAACTTTTTCCTGACAGCATGTCTAACCACAGTTCAGATTTTATTGGACATAAGCCAATTTTAGTCAGATTTTGGTTAATGGGCAACCATTATTTCCAGCTCTGGGTGTAGTAGAAAGTAAACTCTTCGAAAATGAAATAAATTGTTCATTTAGCCTGTGTAGAAGACATAGGTTTTTTTAGAGCGAAAGGAGACTTATTTCGAGGCCACAGATGCACAAGGGGATAAAAGGATAGGAAGTACATGTATGTTCCCACTGTGTGCTATATAAAAACTAACCAAAAAAACTTACCAGCACCTGCCCCGGGGGCTGTACTTTATTAAACAGATAATTTTCAAGGAATGTTTTTTCAACCTCTTTACCAAATTTGGACTGTTGCAATTGTCACCAATGGAAAATCTATACAGGAGGCTGAAATAACCACCAACTACAATTATGCATTTCCAGTGAGTTCTGAAAACAATTTACCCACCCTGCAAGAATGGATGCACAAAGCTGAAGAGGACCTTAGAGAGATAAAAGCCATACCATTACTATAACAAAATTAATTGCAAAACAGATAATTACGTTTTGACAGACAGTTGCTAAGGCCATCCCCTTTTTTGTTTTTCGTTTAGCATTGAATGCATTTCCTGAAATTGCATCGGTCAGTCGGATTGAAAACAAAAAAAACCTTAAAAAAAAATTCACAAGAAGTCTTGGAATAGGAGGCCCTGGTACCCAAGGATGATGTTAAAAGTTAACATTTACATATTTCGATTAACAAAATGCACAATATACTGTAAAAAATGTTCCTGTTTTTGTTACTGTTTTTCTCTACACTGTTACTATGCTCATTTTTCAAAAAAAAATTATTATTTCAAGTGAAAAATGGTTTAACTGCATCGTTACTTCTTTTTTTTCTTTTTAAATGCCAAAAATTTGGGTCCGCTGGATGACGCTAAACAGAGAAAAAAAAAGAGGATGGCCTAATACAGCCTGTGGATTATAATATATACATGTGGGATTATGAAGTGTGCTTTCTTATTGAAAATTACATGTACTCACCCAAAATAGGCAAATGGCTCAAATCTTGTCTGTACACCAGCCCAATATACATACTTTTGTACTTTTAACCCCCCCGACTACTTAACAGCAAAGTAACATAGTTTTCATCATTCTAAGCTTGGAGGACCCATCACAGAAGTTCACATTTAAACACGATGCAAGCAAGACATGTTTGGCTGCCAAAATTCTGTCACGCCAAGGTTGAAGGTCATGATTTAAAATTGTTTCTGGTCAGTACATATGTATTAGCTCAATTTTTAGGATTGATGACTTTCACAACCCAAGGCAAAAGTTAATAACAGTGCCAATACAATCTCTCTCTTCAATCTTTAAGAATTCAATTCTTTCACTAGACTCAAAAAAATTTATACCGGCAGTCTCTACACACTCTAACACAAAGGCCACCAAAATAACTAAATGTTATTCCGATGGTGGCTGTTGTGTAAAAGTTTGAACATATTTCTAAGAAAGGATAAAACTTAAAGCCAAATTCTACCAGTTACACTATAATGAATTTTACAAAAGGTATGGAATAGTATGTAGCTTTGCCTTCAGTGAATCTAAGTCCCACTCTGAAGACTACATGAATCAAATGAAAGGGCACGCAAATAAAAAATACCTCTCCATGACATAATGTAGTCAAATCATCGTTTCTTCGAGGTCCTTTTGCCCAATGAAAATAGTAATAAACCGACACAAACGTCTAAATTGTAGTTGTCAAGAACTCGCCATTCAAACTTCGCATCAAAACAAACAGGCGTTGCTCGTAGCGAGCCGCCACTTTGTCCCAGTCCTCGGTCCCTCCTGTCACGCTACTCTCCCGAACTCACAACGTCATTGTTTATTTTTGACATTTTTGCTTTAGAAAAAAGGAACAAATACAACTAAAAGCAATTTCATATGCATATTTAGATAGTTAGACAACGAAAATTGATTTAAACAAAAATCAATCAAGAACTTCCGGACAGGAAGTTCTTTTGTAGCCTAGTTCCAGATCCCTTGCTGCTTGGAAGAGCAGGTGTTGGACGACAAAAATGGCGGAAAACGCGCTCACAAAAGCCGTTGACAAAAAATACCCCGGTTTCACTTACGAAAAAGAAGGACAGTGGAAAGGATCTTTCTGCTTTATCCATGCTTCAGATACACAATTTGGCCTTATAGATTCGTGGAATGGTGTTCCACTTGAAGAGCAAAACTGGGCAAAGGAAATCGTCCTTACGCGCAAAGCGATCGCTGCTGCAAACAAGCTGTCACCAAAACCGAGGTTCTTTGTTGTTTGCGGCGATCTCGTGAACGCTTTTCCCTGGGAAAAATTCAACGATCCACAAGTTGCAGATTTTAAGAAGATCTTCAATGAGCTCGACCCGAATATACCCCTGATCTGTGTTTGTGGGAACCACGACGTTGGCGATTCACCAACACAAACATCTCTGCAAAAGTACAGGAGCAATTTTGGGGATGACTTTTACTCCTTTTGGGTTGGAGGTAAACTTTTTTACATTTGATTAGGAAAGGTACAATTTACAATAAAATGTTAACAAATTAATTTTACCTGCACTTTTTCCGCAAGGAGGGGACAAGCAATATATTTTCGTCAATTAGAGGTTGTACTCACTCTATCGTGGTCAATTGCATTTCACAACCTTTTTTATTCATTTCAACGTTCTTTTGACAGGGCAATGGAATTTTAATTTTCTCTCCCGGAGAATACTAAATCCGTCGTGTTTTGAATAACATCTGGGTTCTTTCCTTAACATTTTTGCAGTCTTGTTTTTTCTTTTAAGCTTAAGGGTAAGAAGTGTTTTATCATAATAATGCCAGTTGCTGGTTGTTGTTTCTTTTTGTTTTCGTTCGCTTTGTCAGCTTATTAACGTTGCGTTTTCGTGAAGCTTAACATGGCAAGATTTTGTTGCCTACTTTTATTTCTGCTAGCCCAATTTGTTGATGATTGCTTATTTTTCAAAGGGCTTGATAAATTTTTGGAAAAAAGAATATAAACAATGTCGAGTGTTTTAACCAGGTTTTAAGGGTGACCCTCAATACATTTCGTGCTGATGGGAGTTCCCCTAATATTAAGGAAAAGCCGGAAGTTTTAAGCTTTCCTGTTCTTAAATACCAGGTGGAATCTGGAATGAAAATATTTGCCTTGCATGTACAGTATTGTATGTGCTACAGGTATAATACAAATATGTTCTAAAGCATTTCGTTAAATTTTCAGTCAATTCAAAATTATTTTAATTTAGAATTTCAGATGGGATTGATTGCTGGCATATCTTTCTCAGAGCTTCCTACCCCCCCCCCCCCAATTTTTTGTAGAGCTTCCTCCCCCCCCCCCCCCAATTTTTTGGTAAATGTAAGTGCCTTTGGTAAAGCACACCTGTATTATGACTTGTATGACTTGCCCTAGTCTAGCGGCTATAAATATCATTTTACACTATAAATGTTAATAATAAGAGTCTTACAACCTAAAAATTAATCGATGGGAAATGTTTTAACATATTTGTTAAATTAATGGAATGCTCTCTAGGCTGTAGACTGTATGACAAAATACAGAAAAACAAAACAACAAAAAATGTAAATCAGAAAAATAATCCTCTCTTAAGACCTATCCCACGAACTGCAAGGGCTTTGATTATTATTGTTTTTAGCTTTTAATCAAGAACCTTTTACAATGTAGGGGGAAGACAGGACTACATCTAAGCAAAGAGAGGGTCTTATTCAGTTTAGCAAAATTAAATGCAAGTATAAAGAAATGAGAAACGATCAGCGTAGAGTTACAGTACTCTAATTTATTCCTGTTTTGGATGGGTGGGAAATATGAGTGTTTGACATCAGGATTTGAGTGATATTATTCAAATTTTATAGAATCACTAAGATAGTACACGCACTCTGATGGGCCGAGAAGAATGTTTGTATGAGAGTATGTAAACATGGTTTTGACTCCAAGATGTTTTGCTTTTTCCATGCTTATCACAGAAGCACAAATTTGAAAAAGTTTTTGAGTTCAAAACTCAACAAGTTTACTTTATTTACCCATTCCTTTGTTGGCTGACACTTGAAAAATCTTTACAAACAAGCTGTGTCAATTTGTTTTCGCTTAAGCTGACATTTTAATCATAGTTAGTACTACTCTACTAACTATGTTTTAATCAAGGAAAATCTGTATTTTGGAAAGCATCTTCTTGCAAAACAATAACTGATTATGCATCCATGACTTTGTGTACAAGACTTTGCAACTGGTAAGAATTTCTCTTTTAATCAGTGCAGTAACAAAGAATTTTGCGTTTTTTCTCGGGAAAGTTATTTTTCTGTTTGCATAGCCTGAAATAAACACTCCAGGAGTTGGGAGAATTCTCGCAGTTATGCCAACCCTCAACTTCGTCTCAGGTTTGCAAAGCTGTCTCGAATTCTCCCAATCCCTCTCGTGTTTATATCAGGCTACTGTGTTTCCTCGAATGATAGCCGTCCCTCGATTAATTTCCTCCCTTTGACAGAAATATTTGAAATGATCACCTTCCACAAGTAAGCCCCTCTTGCCATCTCTTCTCTTCCTTTTATGACCTCGCTCCTTGTCAAGTTGAAGCAGTGCAATGTGATCCAGAAAGATCAGTGGTGATCAAGCTCTGAAAATTAATCAAGGAACTAAATTTGGAATACTGTCTTGAAAAGCCCATGTTCAATTTATTTGATGAGATTATTTTTTTGATTTAATGGGAAAATAAAAACATATAATAGATATTTAGGGCACAACTTCCAGTGAGCAATATTTGAAATAATAACCTCCCTCGAATAATTGCCTTCCCTCGAATAATCACCTCCTTTTTGTGCAAAAAAAGAAATAATCACCCCCGGCTATTATTTGAGGAAATACCGTATGTAAACATGTAAAACGCTTTCTATTGCTTTAATAATTACAGTGTATGGGGATTGCTCATATTACAGGGCTGTCACTAAGAGCCTATGGGCGGGGATTTTCCCCGGCTACTATGAGTGTGAACCTCAGCTATTCTTATAGGAAACAAAAGGAAAATGGAACCAAGAGAACTTTCTAGCTGTGCAATTCTCCTCCTGCTAATTGCATAAACTGGGCAACTTGAAATTTTAGCGAAAATCCGGTATTATTTTTAAAAACACAAATTTTTATTTTTTGGTTTGACCGTAAAACTTTAAGTGACTGTAGAGGAAGGGGCCTGGGGGCAGGCGCTTAATTAATTCTCTTGTGGTTGGGAAGTTGAACGATATAATATTATTTAATGAAGTATATTGAATCTTTTCTTCAAAATTTCACTTAAACCCATCAGTGCCTCGAATGCTATTTAGGAATAGACCGATCTAGCCTGATAGTCGCGATTAATGGTGGAATAAATTATTCTTTTTTTTTATTGGACTGGTCTGACCAGCTGACAAATGGTAAGGATTGTTAGTGACCCAGATGAATTTTTCTATTGGTTCATCTCTGGAGTACAGAGATGAACATTGTATAGCATGAAAAATTACTCATCTGACAAATAATATGATTAAATCTAAACTCAATAATCCATATTCTCGAAGTATTAGTTCATCCACTGTGAATACCAATTTTTTTTTGGTTCACTCATTCACACTACATCATAATTATTGTTTTTCACAGGTGTTTTCTTTCTTGTACTCAATAGTCAGTTTTATAAAGATGCCAGCCAGGTGATGGAACACAAGCAGGAACAAGATCAATGGTTAGATGAACAGCTTTTGTTTGCATCAAGCTGTAGAGCAAAGCACATTGTCATTTTTCAACACATTCCTTGGTTCTATGCCAACCGAGATGAAAGTGATGATTACTTCAATATTGAGACAAATGTGCGTAAAGAGATGCTTTCAAAGATAAAGATTGCTGGTATTAAGTATGTCTTTGCTGGTCATTATCACAGAAATGCTGGAGGTTTTGACGAAGGTTTGGAAATGGTTGTCACAAGCGCTATCGGCCAGCAAATTAACAATGATAAAGACTCAGGGATGAGGATTGTATGTGTCACGATGGATAAAATAACTCATGAATATTATGAGCTGGACAGTGTTCCCACCAGTGTAACTTTGTGAAACAAAAAAAAAGATAATGCTCTGTGTCGAGAAGGATTTTGATAACATAACATCTGTGGAGAAAGTGACTAGACCTGGAACAAGTCATCATCCTTTCACATGGTAATCACCATGGACACAACCTGCACAATAACTGAAGGTTCACTGTAGAGGTAGTTTTCCTGTCACCAGAAGCAGCTTTTATAGTTCAGAAAACATCTTGATGTTGTCCAGTTCATATTAATAACATATGCATAAAATGTGCACAAGATTGAATTTAATACAAATTTATAGCAGGTGATAAACATCATAGTCATCTGTAGTTTGGTATACTAAATATATTGCTTAATGGTACATGGTACATCTGTATAAAGTTCCAGTGATAAATTTTTTGTTGGTATCAAAGCCGGATCCGTAAATTAATTTAAAAATTAGGCTGCAATCACTAGTGGCTGATTTTCGTTCTCATACGTGTAACAGGTGATGGCCATGTACGGTGTAGCCAGGTATACTTAAATGTAGTATTCTAACTTAGATTTATTGGGTTATTTATTTACTTTGATTTGAGAAAAAAAATTATAATTATGTACAGCATAGATGTTGTCACTGCCATGGCTAAAGGGCAGGCTTACACTCAATAAATTAGAATGACTTTAATCACAACTAAGGTCTTGTTATACAAGAGTTTGTGATTTCAAAATGTTTTTTTTTTACAGTAATATTTTTAAAATTATTATTTACTAACTAAAATAATTTGCTATTGTTTCACTCTTCATCAGCATAACATTACATACCTGTTTTTTTTATGACATTATATTATTTTATGTGCTTGATGCTTAATGGGCCATAATCTTAAATACATGAAATCAGCTTTGATTTTGCCACATTATTTATTTCTATTATTTTTGCATGAATTTCCTTATATCTTGGGACAGTCTAATCAGAGATGTCCTCAAGTTGTTACCTTGATATTGTCATTATATCATTGACAGAGTATATTGGATTTAGGGTACAGATTTGATTTATACAGGCATAAATTAATGATCCTGGAAAGTGGACTTATTAAATGTCACTGTTTTCTCAGCATACTGCGTAACAAATTTTACGATACATGACTGTAGTCAGCAATCTTTTTCAATAAATTATAATGGTTGTATAATTATACCGTTGCATACGTGTAGTTAGTACATGTACATGTATATTTTGTGGTTATGGATTGTGTATTACTGATGAAATCGTATGCAGGAATGGAAATGTGTACATCTGATATATCTTCAACAAAACGTTCTGCGCAATAATTATTTCACTTTATTGTGTACAATGTGATGTAAAAATCTAGGCAGAAGCCTGTCCTACATTTTTTTTTTCATTGCTACTATTTGCATAGTTCGAAAACCAACCATTCTTATCTATACTCAGTTTTACTGACCTCATAAATTGTTTTTAGTTAATAATAATAATAATAATAATAACAATGGAATTTATATAGCGCTTATATATCACTGTTCTAAGCGCTTTACAATGAAAAAAGGACATAAGAATATCATTAATCACAAGCTTTCATATAACGCTACTGTACATATTGGGAAATTTATAGCATAATTATACATCTTAAAAAGGAAAGAAAACAAAAACAAATATGATGAAACTAAATGTCATTATACCTTTTTAAAAAGAAAAGTTTTCAACTTAGATTTAAAAAGATTAAGTTACCTTCGTTGCTTTGTTTTGTTTCTGTTGTTATCATTATTCAGCTTTTGTAGAAATGAAGTTGAAAATTTCTCATAACAATTTTTCTTTTTTTTTCCGTTTGTTTGCTTGTTTTTTGGCCTAAAGGATTTTACAGCTGAAGGAAAGTGGACCTCAACAAAATTATTCCTAGTTTCATTTTAAAATATAAAAACAAATAGACAGCACTCATGCCATAATTGACTCATGGAGTATTGGCAAATGTTCCTTGCCTTGTTTCACTAGCAAATGCAAGGAAATGTGCCAGAAAAGATCTCACATTCCACAAGAAGTCATTGACGGCTTTGTATAAAAAAATGTGCGCTGTACATTATTTGAATATTATACAATTAGGATTCATTGGCAAATTTTGTAGTATATTTCTCATACATTGTAATTTACCTCATCCTTGAGACGCACCTTTTACACCCGACCCGACTGACTGCCCCTGGGTCTCCAAGGATGAATTTACCTGTAACAAAGGTTATTTCCAACAACTTATAGTATAACATGAAATACACCCAATCAAAGTCTCCAATCACACCTGAAAGGCTGGCAAAGATCTCAGCAAGTACCCACTGCATGCAGTTTCCATTTCACTCTACTAACTTTTCAATCTGTCAACAAAATCAGTAAAGAAATAGATTGGTAAACGACCTACTGAAAGAATTGATTTTTTCTATCTGATTTTTTCTGTTTATTGAGAGCAATATGTGGAAATATGAACGCATGTACTGGGTAAAACCGTGATTAGTCATATAGATCTGTCAGGAGTAGAGGCTCCATGTTAACAATGATTTTTTTTGTGCTATTATTACTGCAATTCTAGAACCTTGGAGAATAGTGTCTCCTTTGAGTCCCCTCCTGCAGAAACCGCTTATAGAAACTGGGAAATTATTCAACATAAGATCACCTCAAAATTGCAGCAAAGATAATTGCCAAAAAATCACTTCGTACATGGACCTCATTATTCAGCCTTTATGATGTCTGGTTCTTGTAACATTCAATTCGCAATTTGATTATTCTAATAAATATTACAATAATTATTATAGTATTTAATTAGGAATGTTAGTGATATTTTGGTAGCTGTCTTTAAAACACAGATTTGAGCAGATTAAGTATAAATAAACTTTTTGAACTGCAATGGACTCTTGTTTTCTCTGCAATGCCATACAATCAACATAGTATTATTGTGTTCAGCATGTGAACGAACTCTGTGAAAAGGCACCTTTCTGCGGTGGTCACTAACAGATGGTTCAACCCCCTTTTACTGTAAAACTGTACTAAGCCAGACTTGTTCCCTGTTGCTTCTAAGACAAAGTTGATAAGAATGAATTACAGCAAGGGAACTCTGAACAAAATCAGGTAGTGATGTAGCCTTCCATGCAGGCTTTCTTAAGGGCTGGTAGTGCTGTCCCTAACCCCTCTGTCCTTCCCAGGGTTTTACTGCTTTACTGAACTCTTTACTGAACTCTTTTCTCATGTAAAAACTTTCTTTTGTTTCAAGAAATTGCATATCTGTGGAACATGTCAGTGAAAATGATTTGTTCTTAACTGCTTGCAAGAGACTTTGCAGGTCATTTGGTAGAGGACTGAAAAACCTAGTCCAGAGAATGCAAGTTACTGTCAAACTCATAAAACCCTGAACACCTGAAAAATTTCAGGAATGTTGATTGTGTACTGGCCAATCACAATAAAGTTTAGGATATGCAAGCAAACCTCAAAACCATTGCTGTTTGTGGTTTAGTTGTCTCACACGATTGGTTTATTTCTTGTGACACAATAACATTCCATAAATATTTCTGGTCAGTGTTCACAGTTTTGTGAGTTTCAAGGGTAAAATCTCACTAAGGTCAAAAAAAAAAAATAGTAATACAGTCAAATCCTGTTAATGTGAAAACTAAGGTGGCCATAAAAAGTGTGCATATTAACAGTGTCCGTATTAAGCGGGTTGAATTAAGCAAAAATGTAAGGGCTAATCCCCAGCGGCAATAATAAGGTATCCATATTAAGCGGCCGTCCATGAAGCGGGGTTTGACTGTATTTCTCTTTTCCTGCATGAGTGGTGATGCTTACCTACAATAAACACTCTCGTAGTTGTAATGCAGTAGGTTGCTCCTTTCTAGACTTTTCCTTACTTCCCTCTATGCAACTGCAAGATCAAGCACCCTTAAGGACAAGACAACACTCCCATGCCAAGGCAAAGATTAATAGTGTTCTATCCACCAGTTTTTACAAGCCCAGCTTATAAGCTAGCTAGTCATCTACTTAGTACATTAGCAGGTCTACTACTTTTGTACTTGACCAGCCTTGACAGACATGAGCGTATCCTTGTGGAATAGATTTCGACTTATTACATGTAAGTGAATACATTTTATAGTCTCTGCCACTGTTTATGGGCAACCACACAACTCCCCCCCCCCCAAAAAAAGGGTTTCTTTGTATGACGTGACAAAATTGCAGCTCACTAACGGTAGATTTAAAATATGGATTGATATCATTGTTAAAACACTAGTAAATCCTGTCCTTTTTATTAGAATTTTGATAATCTTAAATAATAATTTAATCTCAAATAATAATGTAATAACGTTATCAACTCTTCCGTTTTCTCAATGTGAATACCACATAACATACATTGAGGTAATTTTTTCAAAGACATGATGTCAAAGTTCAATGGCAATACTGAAATTGCCTTCATAAAAAGCACATAGTAATACATGTAAATTGTAAACATCCTGTATGACTTGTTTAAGGAAACTGTGTTTACAACACAACTGTGCAAAACAACGCACAATTTAGCAAGCATTAAATTGAATGAGAAAAATAGTAAAACCACAAAATTACATGTATATTCTACCAACAAGTTCAAACAATAAGGAGTTTCTAGCAATCATGACCATGATGGCAGGTAACAATACCACAAAGTAATGTAATCTTATTACATAAGAATGGCAAGCAAAACAAGCTTTTACACAAGCGTACATATTCTGTTTCATTCTGCTAAGGGTGCTCTACATTAACAATCATGATGTCTCACAGTAAATTTGAAACTCTTCCATACAGAGTTATTTTGTGAACCTTAGCATTCCAGATACTTAAAAAAAAACAAATAGGTACAATTTAAAATTAAAATGAAAAAGCAAGATTTGTTTCTTCAGGTAGATTTTCCTTGGGTTGTTGTCGTAACTGCTATTAACTCCCTATTGACGAAGATTAGAGGTATATAACCCTGGTTATATGCTTTTGTGCAGATAGAAATAATCCATCATCTATTTACTGGAAGAACATTCTACAAATTAAATAAATACAATATAAATAAGAGCTAAATGACCGCCTCTTGAGAAATAGTCAGTTAAGTTCAAGTAACAAAGTAGCATCAATATCAAAGAAATTTCCATCCTGAATGATTTCCATCAAAATTATGCGTAAAGCATGCCAACAGCAAAACTCTTAATACTAATATTATTATTATTCTACTATTGATGGAAATACTAAGGCTGGAGATTTCCCAGGCCTTTTATTGACATGAACCCCACCTACATTCATAAGAACATGGTTCGTACACATCATTTTATACTACTTTCCACAACAACACTTTGCAAAAAATGACTTTGAATTTTCATCTGAGGTACAGAATAGAAATAAAATATTACAAGAAACAGAAATGAAATATTGTTTACGTACAAGTTATCCGTGAGTTTTACAGGTTCTTACATCGATGATGAGCCAAATTTTCCTCAGCAAAATAATCTTGTTTTACAGAAAATCGTGGCTGGCGTAGACAAGGTAGTGAATTTCAAGGACTCTTCATGGCCTAATAAAGAAATGAAGTACTTTTCAAGGACCTTAACTAAATTCAAGTACTTTTCAACATGAATACTTAATTTCAAGAACTTTTCAAGATTGTACAAACCATGACGAAACCAAAGGAAAATAGAACCAAATGGACTTCCTAGATGTTTGATCCCACCTTCTAATGGCTTACCAACAGCAACTTGAAATCTTACTGACAGCCCTGAGAATACATTGTACTGTACATACTGAATCACGAAAATCTGTTTTTCTCTTACAAGGTTTAATGCAAAGCTTAGAAAACTGTGAACAGTAGAAATACTCCTGGAATGTTACAGGTGTAACGAGTTACAAGGAAAAGGCCAATTGGACATTTGAGTGGAGTGAGTGAGTCACTCCTGGCAACCATCCATTGAAACCATTCTCTAGATAAACAACTCCTAAAATGAGTTTTTTTGCCACATTTTTGGTATTGCAAATATGGTTACTTCAGCTATACAAGCATCCGGCAATGGTTACTGCCACAAGCCAGAAAACATTCATTTGAGGAGGTGTTTGAGTAAGCAACCTCAACTGCTGCAATGCCTCATGCTCTCTTCCAACAGTGCAACAAAATTACCAATCAAGTTGTAATAATATTCCGCCCTAATGTGATGGGCTGTTATATGTGTAGGTTAAAAGTCAGAGCCAATTCAGCTTTCTTAAATACACCAAGTTCAGGCCAGGTTTTAGATCAATAAAGAGTGTTCACTCAAATGGTGATTAATCGAGAAAATGCAGCAGAGAGTTTATCATAAAGCTCCATTTAAAATAATAGCAATCAAACGTCTTTATAAATATCTTAAGTCAATATTTCATATCATTGCTTTTAGCAACACACTGTGCAAAACAATGGGTATCCATTGAAGCAAAAGGTTTTTGACTGTATGCACTACTTTAAAACGTACAATGAATCTGTCACTTCGATCATCCGTAAAGAAGGCAGTTGAAAACATGTAAATTCAAGACCTCAATCACGCTATGAATATACGTTTACACATAGGTCATTGAACTTGTGGTGCTGGTATCTTGGCTGTTTGAAGCAGGACTGTCCTCGATGGCTGAATTTGACAGCTTTACACTTCTCTGTCTCCGTGGCATCTTTCTCTTAATAGAATCTGTGAATTTCTTTAAGGAACCACGGCTACGAATCTTCCCTGTTGTGGTTGCGTACTTTCGGTCATTCCTCTGAAACTGCCCGACATTCACCAAATGAGAATCGACCTCTCCAAAGGACTTGCTTCGTCGCACTAACTTTTTCTCCGGCTTGTAGTAAAATGCCTGATACTCCAAAGCATCGTTGACTACTCTATGGGCGGCCTTGTGACCGAAATGACCGTGAAATCTGTACGAAAAACTCCCTCCATCTTTTCTTTCCTCAGAGTAAACAACAACATATAATTTCCTGTTCTGATCAACCATTGTGATAATCTCGTGCCAAGGGAAGTTTTCAATCGTATTTCCGGGGATTCCAAAGTTATCTACAGCGAGGACAAGAAGTCCCGTGTTGCAAATAGCTAACAGAACTGCGTTCCCGTTGTTATCCGTTGCCCCATGGTGTAACGACATACCGTAGAAGGGAAGACTTTTGGCGATCTCCAAAAAACCCAGTTTCGCTTCGCAAGTAGTCAGTCCCTTGTGCGAACGATGCGAAGTATGAACCATAGTTTCATATTTATCTTCGCTTATTTCATAGTCCGAGTTTATCCCATTAGGCTGGGCGAAAAATGATCCCAATAAGTCCTCTAAGTATCCACGTTTGTGAATCTTGGGTTTAAAATCACCCAGAATAGCTTGGGCAAAGAAGCCATCCAAGAGAGCGTGTTCATTGACGGAGGTAACAAATTTCCCTCGAATCAGGGAATCTTTGATTTGTAAAACCAAAAGGTCAAGAACTTCGTTGGGCACACTGCTTACATCAGACGGATAAAATTTGACTGCAAATTGAAAGGAGTAAGGTTTTTTACGCTGTGGTCTTACTTGTCTGTCGAAATCCAACCACGTTAGTTCTCCATCAACCCCGTCAACAAATTGCAGACCGAAGTGGTTCCTCCCATTTGGCGGCAGCGACAGTTTTTCACAAACGCAGTCGAAAAGCTCTTGTCCTTTTGTTGACTTTCTCTCAAATGTCGCCACGAAAAGCGAATTGTCTAAAAGAACAACTTGACATTTAAGCTTACCCACTGATTGTCTTTTCTCTTCAAATTTAACCGATTTGGGTTTTGTAGTAAAAACGGTCGACGGCATGGTTATCGACGATTTGAAACCGAAACTCCGCGAAAAAAACTGTTTCGCAAAGACGTTCCAAAATTAAGGTTGTGTTCCTTACAAGAATTCTACTTTCAAGAGTCTTGACGGCAAAGTTGCTCCCAAATAGTGCGTCTTGATTCAAAACTACATATCATCGAAGGGAAGATCTGTGCTGTAGTGGTGTTACTCCCAGGAGTGTATAGTCCGTTGATCCTTCAATATTATTGGTTCACTTACAAAGACAGCTTTCGCGCGCGAATGTCGCGCACTAGCTCACACGGAAAAAGGAAACAATATCACTTTCATTATATTTTTATCATCTCAATGCGAAGAATGGTCTAGCATCTATTTAATACAGTGGAACCTGGTTAATACCGTCACTAATGGGCCAAAAAAATTGGCCGTATTGACGGGGTGGCCGTATTTCCGGGGAAGGCTCAGTTTCATGACTTGAGGGCCGTAATGACAAATACACAGGACAGGAATACACCGTACATCGCATTCACCGTACTGTTCTCATTAATAAACAACCGCAATGTAGCTATCGCGCACAGTAATTGAAAAAACTACATGAAACTCTTTTAAAATTCGACTATAAATCGCCACACGTGCATTTATAAGTGTACTGTAGTAAAAATAGTACGAGAATGAGCTTAGAGTACTATAGTCAATGAAACTGACATGTCACTGGCATTTTAATTTTCTAAATTTCGAACGAATGGCCATATTAACATGGTGAAATTATAAGGGATTCTACAGTTTCAAGGGATTTTAAAATGTGGCCGTTGGCCGTATTAACGGGTGACAAGAGCTCTCTTGCGGGTGATGTATGGCCGTTTCGCAGGGCCGAAACGAGGTGACCGTATTGTCGAGGTGGTCGTTCTACTGTAAACGGAAAACCCCTTCATCGATGTAACCTTACAATTTCTGGAGATGAGATTGTAAAGAAAATCAGCAAGAACATACATAGGAATAATCCTCTTTTGGCTCTTTTGAATACCGTGTGGCGTGGCGGGTTTTTTTTGGTCCGGACGCTCCCATTTCCCAGTAGAAAAATCAGAGGGGACTAGACTGGGGACGCAGAAGTTGCCGATTGATGACTGCGTTTTGGAGGAAGTTCCGAACAGATTGCGGTTTGAGGACGGAGTGATTTTTTTGCCGGCAATTAATTTTGGCACATTTCAGTAAAAGGCTCAGTTCAAATGAATTAAGAACATTTCTGTTTCCTTTGAAAGTACTGTGTACGTGCGTCAAATGTTCTGTACTTCACCTTGCCGTCTTGGTAGGTCTACAACGCGAAACTTTCTAATTTCAAGTTTAGACGGACCCAAGAAAACAATTTTCTTTTGTTGAACTTAGAGACAGTCCTTAGAATTCAACTGGAGAAAAATTCGCCGCTATTTGACAAATTGCACAAGGTTATTTGAATGTCATTCGAATGGCACACAGATGTGGCGCGCACATACAATTTCTAAGTGTTTTCATATGACTGTAAACTAGCTAATATTAGAAGATCCAAACCACAAAAACTCGATCGTAATAAGCCAGTTTTAAATTATCAAAATTCTTACTTGACTCCGAGGCTGGCGAGAATAAAACAAAAGAAATGAATTATTCGATTTCTTTTGTTTTATAGTCCCTCATCCTCGTAACCAAGTTTGAATTTTAATCATTGAAGAAGCCACTGTAGTCCTCCTGTAGTCGTCTATCCCACAACAAGAGCCCACAACTATGAATTGACTAAATAAAAGGGTCTGTAATTAGCAAAGTATGTAACTATATCAGTTAATTGTATGTTTTACTGTCCAGCATCTGCTCGCAGCCACTAATATGGCTGAATCCGCGAGCGAGCGGGCGGGCACTAAGATGGGCCTAACTTTCCTGCTCGGGATTTACCCGCGTTGGTCCCGCGAGAAAAAAAATTATCTTTGTACTGGGGTGCATTTAATAAATCCTTTGTTGACCACGCTAGTTCAGGATGGCTGGATATTGGCCTCGTCCCTTTTTAACTTTTTATCGACCTCGACTTCGACTCGGTCGTGATAAAATGCACGATATTGGAAGGACCACTTGAAACCTCGAAAAGAACTTGGCCAATGCACAATACTGACCAGCCATCTTGACCCTCCCACCCAGAGGTTAAAAGAGACACGCGCGGCTGCATCACACGCTATAATTTACATCAGTACTTTGAATGTATATTGTACCTGTTTGATTGTAAATTAAAACAACAGTTTTGCACATTCCATAGTCACTATACAACTGGCTATAGATTGAATAGTTGCTGCTCGCAAAACAAAAAATATAAATAGAAGTCAGTATCTCAGTGGAACATTCAATACAACTTCTCACGTCTTCAGTTTTCTTCATGTGCTCTTCTTGAGGTTGTTATGTTGGACCGGTTAATGTTGAAAACTTATTTAAATCAACTTGACCTAATACAATATCACTAAGGAGGTGTGATCAGGTCAATTATTCAGAATTTATTCAACTTATGATAGTTTGCATAAAAAAATACAACAGATTGTTATCTACGTGAGGAAACATAGCAGCACACGGAAAAAGTTTCCCTTTCAAAGAAGTCAAGATGTCTTTCAAGTTTTTACGGGCTTCGTCAAGTGTGATTGAATGCCACGTTGTTCTTCTTGATAACTCAGAATTCGTCACTATGTTTGACCAAGAAACGGTTGTGGGAGACGAGCTTTTCGAAAGAGTGTGCGAAAGACTTAAAGTCCCATCGTATGACAGGCAGTACTTTGGTTTACAGTACATTGATAACGAAGACGGAGATGTCAACTGGCTAAATCTGGATAAAGAAATCCGTCCACCCAGAAAATCGAATCCGTTGATGTACCAGTTTGCAGTGAAAGTATTTCCCTTTCTGGGAGAAGTCAACCTAGTCTTGTACGTTTTTGTCTAAGAAAACGTCAACTTTCCCGACTAGTTGTCTCCGTTCAAGTTGGACGGGCATTCATTTGTTGCGTCAATCGACGGCTTCTTCGCGCAAGCGATGCTCGGAGATTTCATCCCCAAGCAACACAAGGCGGGTTATTTAGAGACTTTACTCGGAATATTCTATTGTCCTCCAACCGGTATAAACTGCGATGGGGACATCGACGAAGAAAAATATGAGCTTATGGTGCGGGATTTGCATAGATCTCACCGCGGGATGACCCGAGAGAAAGCTGTGTCGTATGCCCTTGATATCTGTAAAGAGTTACCCAACTATGGTGCCTGTGTGTACTATGGAGGGACTGATCTTGACAGCGGGGATGAGGTTGTTTTGTCCGTTTCTATTCAAGGAATACGCATCTGCCAGCTAAAGAACAAATTTCCTGAAGTCGGCGAAGTATGTCACCATTTCCAGTGGCGCGACGTTATCTCCATTCTTTGTGACGATGCAAAGTTGTACGTGCACTTGGCAGAGGCAGCTAATGGTAACGAAGAGGACACGTCGTGTCGCGCGTTCCGTTTCAAGAAAGGCTTGTATAGTCACAAGGTCGCGCATCGCTTTAAAAAGGACGCAGAAAATCACCAGAACTTTTTCTTTGAAGAGAACCCTGAAAGAGCAAGGACCATGAGAAGCCTTTCCGTGGATGTGAAATCCTTGAAAGGGATTCGTAATCTGCGTTCCGGATCAGTAGGATCAGGCCGTCAGTTTCTTGCGTCTAAAATGACTCTTCCTTTCAAGAGACAAACAACGAAGAAGTAATTTAAGGAAGTTGCTAATCCATATGATCGTTGTATTTGTAAGCACATGAACCATGAGCAAATCATTCTCAATAAGCTAGGCCAGATATAGTTACAAAGACACAAAAAAAGGACGATCTTTATACTGATTTTTTCCCTTTGGCTTTCTGAGCGTTTGGGAAACTTCATGTTGTTTTATGTTAGTTATTCCCAACATCCACTTTCAACGCCTCTGTGCTGATATTATCCTGATGCTATCCCTTTGCTTGGGTAATTCTTAAACAGAAAGTTCCGTCAATGGATCAACAACAAGGGTTCTGCAGATCCCGGTTACACTTAAGAGATATGTCAGATAAGTTTTTTATTTATGGAATCCCCGACTTGATTAAATAATTTTCGTATTTAATGTTCATTGAATTATTTGCAGAAAATGGCCTGAAACTCAAAGATCATTCCTGATCGTGAGTAGTGCCATCCATGTTTGGCTCTAAACTTGTTTGCATAAATGTGCGGACGACTCCACCATAATTGCACCTGTGTGGAGGGATACGGACTGTTCGAACGAGTTAGTGAAGCAGTTCTTAGAATGGTCAAAAGACAACTGTATGACCTGCAATCCTAGTAAACGTAAAGAACTTGCCTTTATGAAAAAAGGCAATGCACAGATCTAGAGTATAGATAGAGTAGCTGGAATACCTCGGGTCAAGGATCTTGTTTTGCTGGGTGTTACTTTTCAGTCCGACACCAGATTTAACGTTCATGTAAAAAATAAACTCACAAAGGCAGACAAGTCTCCACGTACTCAGGACGCTTAGAATAGATGGGTGCAATCAGAACGAAATTGACTACCTATTCAATTCCATTGTACTACCTAACATCTCATACGGGCTTGCGGTGTATAGACCGGCTGAAGCTGAACTAACAACGATCCAGCGTTTTTTTGGATAGATGTAAGAAGGGTAGGTACATCTCGCATAGCATTGATATCCACGATCTTTTAGAAAAACAAGATAAACAAATACGCACTAAAGTTATAGGCTTAGAGGGTCACCCTCTTTATGACATGTTGCCAAAGGTTAAGAACACTAGGTACTACCTTAAACGAAAATCAACGGTGAAACCTAAAGTAAACACGACGCGTTTACGTATTCTTTAGTTTAGTTTTTAATTTTATTAGATTGTAATTGCCATTTCATGTACCCTAGCTTGCTTTTTATATTTAACAATTTTGTAACATGGGATATGTATATTTATCTTATGAAATAAAGACCTGTTATTATTACTATTATTATTATTATTATTATTATTATTATTATTATTCAAATTATTATTATTGTTATTACGTTTTTCGAATACACATGAACAGTAACGTGACGACAATGGTTCAACTCACAAAATTTGATCTGGTAAACTGACTTTTATGGATGATAAAAACTAAAATAAACAAACAAGCTATCTTTTTACAGACTGACGGAAAAAAATGACATCACCGTGACTTTATTAAACATACTTCATGCAAGTGGTCTGACGAAGAACTTTCCTTCGCTCGCAGGGGAGTAACCAGGAGCACAACTTTTCAAATTTCCTTTCTCCCACCGTTAAGTCCCAAATCTATTACCCCCTGATTAAAGGCGAGGTTACGCTACAGTGTATAATCCAAAGCGTTTTATTTTCTATGAAATGACGTCAGAAAGTTGCAGATTTCGTTGTCGACTTTTTGGGTAGGCTCGATTTCCGCCGTCTCCCGGGTCCGGTCTTGATCATGAGTGCGGGCTCATTTTCCCGAACAGCGGCTGGTAATCGAGCCTACTTTTTGGGTTTGTTTAACAATTAATGAATGAGGCTGAGTATCTTATGAAGAATTATGGAGCTCGAGGGGGGTGTTATCCGTCGAGGCCGTGGGCCAAGGCGGATAACACCCTCCGAGTTCTCCATAATTCTTCAAATGATACTAAATCCGAATTCATTAATTGTTTTATTTTTCATTCAAAATAATTCCTAGTTTAAAAACATAGCTAAAACAAGCTTACCTGCATCGATAGTTTACGTTTAGGTTTGTCTAGCTCCGAAAATATTCTCCAAATAGTAGATGTCGCCCTCCGAGTTGTCTTCTTGCTGTTTTTAATATGTTTTTAACCATTATTTCGCCTAGTTCCAGCTGTAGTTCTTACTCTTGATCTGAAACGAGTGGGCGCCATTTTAATTTTTACAACGAAAACAACTCAATCTCGTTCCCAGGTCTTCTCGGTTAACGGTGCATTAACATGTAGAAGGCTGCATTTTTGACGTCATTTCCTCGTTAAAAACAAAATTCTTCCAAATTTGGTCTTCAGTAACTGGTTATGGTGAATTATGCGTGTGCTCTTAGCCAATCGGAATTGGGGAAATATTTTGAATGAATAATAATATAAGTTATTGCTTTAGTAGTTAGGTATCTCAAACTTTTATTTACAAATGATTGATTTCTTGTTTGCCACATTGTCTCTGACTGACAAAAGCACTCTACGCTGATGTAATCTTTACAGTTTATTCTACATTTTCAAGAGCCATAATGGCTCTTGATATTTTTATTACTCTCGACTCGCTTTCATTATCAGGTACGCACGTGCGTAGCGTACGTACAGGTAGCTACGCCTCTGGCTCGTCAGGAGCTGGTAATCGGCTCCTGTGCTCGCATAAATTGCAAAAATTTTTCAGGTTTTTTCAGGGACGAATCTGACGATCCTGTATGTGCACTTGTTATGGACATTTTCCTGGGCACCTGCAAGTGGGCTCGATTTTCGCTAGTCGCGGGCTCATTTCCCGAACGGCGGCTGGTACTCGATCCTAACATGTAACTCGAAGGGATATTAGTTCCCAGACCCTTGATCGTGTGACAAAAAGCAAAGAATAAATGCATGAAACCGAGGTTAAAAAAAAGGTAAATATCAAAACAGTTCCAAGCTATCCGGAAGATTCTTGATATGTTGGAAACTTTAGTGTTCTGATGATCTTGTCTTTCAATTCCGTCCTTTTTTCTGCTCAGCATCAGAGCTCTTATCACCTTCTTCTCTCCTCTTTTAAAACGTTGTTTTCGGGTTTCAAAGTCCGTTTATTGGTTTATTATATTGTAAGTATTGAGTTAGCCCGGAAATTCGGCTGATATTAGTAGCCAACCAAAATCTCCGAAAATAGCATATATATTTGACAAGTATTTTACTTTTGGCCCCTGGGGGGTGCTCCCTTATATAAGCTATATAGGTATGTGCCGCCCATCGGTTAGGGTTTTCGCGCCGTTTTGGTCTGAAAACGGGTGTGCACTTCACCCATTTTGGTCTGGAATCGGGTATGGTTTTCAAGGGAACAACGGGAGTGTATGAACGTATTTATCGTTTCAATTCCAAATGAGTAAGAAAGAAAAATAAATATGCGAATTCGAAATGAATTTGAGGAATTGTTTTTGTTTGCGCTGTAATCTAAGTAATACTAACATAATTTCTGCCTAAAGGCCAGGTCTGAAAGCGGGTATGGATTTTAGAGGTCTGGTCTGAAACGGGTATATAAAACGGCATACTTTTGTCTAGACTGGCACAGTCCCCTATTTTTTCGTGAGATCGTTTAGATATACCGTGTCTTACCGTCACGGGTATCTTGATTTTCAAATGTACCGAGGGGGCGGGCGTCGGGGATTATAAGTAGTTTTGACACTCATGCAAGATGGCAGCCCGTAACACAAAGCGCTCGATCTCGATGATCTTACGGAAAAATAGAGGACTGTGAGCAGTCTAATTTTGGTGTGAAATAGGGTCAGGATTTGGAGAACCGGGCGGAACACCCCCACCAAGAATTCCCAGGACTACCCCCCGGGGGACGTTATAATAGCTGTATTATTTGTGATTCTTGAATTAAATTATTGAATTCATCATTTTAAGATATTAAAGATATTAAAGATATTAAGATATTAAAATATCTTACCTAATCATTGAACTCATCGAACGTGATGCCGTATTGTAATGTATTTTATCGGAATTTTATCAATGAGGACATACGTAAAGCAATAAAGAAACAAAAATAAAATCTCGAGAATAAAAATAATTGCAAAGAGTTTAACACAACGTTTCGAAGTTGCTATGACATCATTAACAAGTGACAAGACCAAAAAGTAAACGGCGACAAAAATAAAACAAGAAGGTAACCTATTAAAAAACATGATATCATGTAGCAGTCGGACGGCTTTTTAACCATGCAGTCACGCACTGAGTTTTCTGTCACAAATCCTTAATATTGTACATCTTTGATAAATATGCAGGTGTAATATTTGTAGCAATGGCAGTTGTCAGCGTCCGCCAGAAGACCTAGGAAATTTGTTTACGTCATAGAGGAACATTCGATAAAGTTTCAACCGGTTTCAACTTCTGTTTATTTAACGTTGCCAATCGCCAGTAACTTGATATATTAAATTAGAAGTAGCACGTACATGACACCCAGTGCAATATAACCAAAGGAGGTGTGTCCCTGTGTGTAAATTATTGAGAAAGTAAATAACTTGCTACGATAATTTCAAGAAAACTACAACAGTTTGTTTCTATACACGCGGCGGGAACAACAGAAAAGACAGTATCCTGCAACAAGAAGGGGTAAATCTGTTGGAGACAAGTGGTGATATTTGTAACCTCCTTTAAAATATGTCTTTGAGGTTCCTTCGGTCAACTTCAAGTGTCATTGAATGCCACGTTGTTCTTCTTGATAACTCACAGTTTGTCACAACATTTGACCAAAAGGCAGTCGTAGGAAGAGAGCTTTTCGATAGAGTGTGCGACAGACTTTTAGTTCCTGCAGGTAGTAGGCAGTATTTTGGTCTACAGTTCATAGATGGCGCTGATGGAGATGTCAACTGGCTACATCTGGACAAAGAAATCCGTCGACCCAGAAAATCAAATCAGGTTATGTACCAGTTTGCAGTGAAAGTATTTCCCTTTCTGGGAGAAGTCAACCTAGTCTTGTACGTTTTTGTCTAAGAAAACGTCAACTTTCCCGACTAGTTGTCTCCGTTCAAGTTGGACGGGCATTCATTTGTTGCGTCAATCGACGGCTTCTTCGCGCAAGCCATGCTTGGAGATTTCATCCCCAAGCAACACAAGGCGGGTTATTTAGAAGCTCTACTCGGATTGTTTTACTGTCCTCCAACAGGTATAAACTCCGATGGGGAGATAAGCGAGGAGAATTATGAGCTTATGGTGCGGGATTTGCATAAATCTCACCGCGGGATGACGCGAGAGGATGCTGTCTCGCATGCGCTCGATATTTGTAAAGAGTTACCCAACTATGGTGCCTGTGTGTACTATGGAGGCACCGATCTGGACAGTGGGGATGAAGTTGTTTTCTGTGTTTCAATTTACGGAATGCGCATCTGTCAGCCAAAGAACGAGTTTACTGAAGTCGGCGAAGTATGCCACTCCTTCAACTGGCGTGACATTATTTCCATGTTGTGTGACAACTCAAAGTTCTACATTCACCTCACGGGATCCGGTGACAACGAAGGTGAAAACATGACGTGTCGCGCGTTTCGTTTCAGCAAAGGTTTGTACGGTTACAAGGTCGCCCAGCGCCTCCGAGAAGACGCCGAAAATCACCAAAAGTTTTTCCTTGAAGACAATCCTGAAAGAGCGACTATCATGAGAAGCCTCTCCTTGGATGTGAAATCCTTGAACAGGATTCGTAGTCTGCGTTCAAGATCAGTAGGATCAGGCCGCCAGTTTCTTGGGGCTAAAATGACACTTCCTTTTAAGAGACAAACATCGAATTAACGAGGACAATCATCTTTACCGGAGTCAAAGCCACTCACGATTTATAGCGCAGGCGTGCTTGTTATCAGCGACCGCGCGAGGGAGGGCGGGCATAATACACGCAAGCATTTCCCCTTGACTTGTTTCCACTTTCCAGCCTTACTAAGTTTCGAATCGACTGACTGAATAGAAACTTAATTCCTGCAGTCTACTCCGCACCGGATAGAAAGGGATCTGATCAAAATAAAGAAATAGTATAATAATAACAGGTTACAACACTCCATGAATAAAGCTTCAGTAAAACGCGGGCACTGAACAAAAACGTGCAACTTGTTTTGCAACATTGCTGCATAGAGTGTTGAAAAGCGATGTTGCGCGTTTTTCTACCCAAACCTGCCTTGCAACAAATGAAGGTTATGGAAAGTTACATGAATAGTATTCATGCAACTTTCAGGGTACTGACTTCTGACTGGATGAACTTACGCGCAAGTCACGCAATACACGGGAGTTACCTAACTTGCTGCAAAACAAGTTTGCCTTGGGCCAGTAAAACGAGCAGCATATGTACAGATTTTGTTGCAAAAAATATAACTTAAACTACTATCTACTTTCTGCAACAACCTGATTTGTGGTAAGGCAGGTTTGAACGTGGCTTGTAAAACGTGCAACATTGCTTTTAAACTTGTTTCGCTGCAATGTTGCAAAACAAGTTGCACGTTTTTGTTGCCCGCTGTTTTACTGTACCTTAAGCGTCTAGACTGTTATTTGAGATTCTGGCATACAGTGAAGCCTCGACAATAACCAAGGGCTAAGGGACTGGCAAAATTTACCACAATGATTCTTTTTCATATATTTCACGTTTACTGGGGTAAAGAAAATCGTCGTTAAACCCGAGGTCTTCTTTGTATAGACTAGAGGTTCGTTATGTCGACGAGAGGTTCCACGGTACTGAGACGTTTATTCACGCACATCCTTCATCCTGTTTTCCATACACTTTGTATAGTAATGACAAAGCAGAATTTGTTTTAAGTCTCTACACAGGAAATCAACTCTGTACTGGCAAACTTGTATTTAGCAGTCACCCCAAGCACTACATCAAACGTCACAAACAACAAAAATGAACCGTTTAAAAAAAGTGTTATAGGCTACCAAGAAACTAGCGCAGAAAACCCTTACTGATAACGCGTTACTACTCAGATCTGGGTAGTGCTTTTTACTGGTTAAAGCAAATTTTCAGCACAGGTCAGTTTTAAAGAAATTCGTGGCCATGATTTTCGGGCCTTTTTTAAGTGACCGCTATAATTAATAGATTAGAGGGTGACTGCTGAATACAGGTTTGACAGTGTATCTTCAGCAAAAACGACGATGAGGAAGAAGATATTGGATGATAGTGCTGGAGTGCATTCATTCCAAGTAAAACGCGGAAAGCAAAATGTGATTGTCCCCTATTAGAAAAGACTATTTATCTAAGCTTTCAAAAAAATTGTTTCCATCAATTTGTCAATATCCTTTGTTTGAAATTTTGCCTAATTATCATCATAATTAGGCACAAGACAACCTCAGGATTTCCATTCGGGGAAAATTTCATACCGTTCCAAGTCTCCAGGCGTGAGAGTTACTGTGATCAGTCAGATTTTCCAAAGAGATCTTTAAAATACTTGAGTCCTAAGCTCTCCGCCCAATCGTGGTGGCGGTTTACACGAATTACTGTAGTATGAGCTTGAGTACCTTGTAGATTATAATTTCATCAGCTTAATCATTGTTGTAAGATATGTATAAACGGTTTATTATGAAAAGCTTAAAAATTACTTCTCAGCCAATGAGTCGTTTAAAGTTAAGACCCTATTGAAAAGCTTATGCCTTCGGAAGGCAACAAACGCGTGTCCTATTAAGAAAAAAATGTAAACCTGAAAAATCATAATATTGATATTTTCAAGGGAAGTTAATTCAATAGTTAACTTTGCTAAAGTATAAATATATTAAGCTGTGTTATTGTATAAAAAAATATTGTAGTCTGTTGAATAATGATTATAATACAAATTGCTCGCTTTTTTTCCTGACCAGGTATTGGATGCGGATTATATTACAAATGAAAACTACATTCGTTGTAAAAGCTTTAAAAAATAATGTAAAGGCTATTCGCAGGAAGACTTTTTTTAGTATCATTTCGTTTTTCTCTCAATTAATCTTAATTCGGTAATCCAAGTCTGGTTTAAATAACAAAAGCCCAAATTTTCACACAGAAAAAAAAAACAGCCTGAAAGCCTGTTATAGTAGTGACGCCATAATGAAAATGGTCTATTCTTCTTGTTGTAGAAAATCCTTAGTGAGCACTTTCTTTAGTGTTTAGTATACGTTACACTAGAATTGAAGTACCGTAAATGATCAATTAAGTACTGCGGCGCTTATTTCATTTTCCCTGTTAAAAGTGCGGCGCTTATTTCAACTACGGGTAAAACTTTCCTCTACACAAATACAGCCGGGTCAACTTGGTCAATGTGAAACAATCAGTGCATGCGGAAGCGCTGTTAGCCTGAGCCACAGAAGGAAATTAACTTGTGGTTGAGTCTGTCTTCCAAACAGCGCCGACATCCCTATTCGGGCCCTTAAACGTGTACCAGGATTTGAGTACACGCCATGATTAGCCTGTGAAAAAAGCCATTGTCAATTTGCCAATCAGGTTGAAGGGAAATTCGAAACGCATTTCCGGTCATTTCTGGAGCCCCTTTTGGAGCCCAGAACAAGGATATCGGCGCTTCTTCGCAGACGTTACTGGGGTTAGATTACGTCTGCGACGCAGGCTAAGACGCTGTTGGCTCGCTGGCAAAGGGGTAAACTTTTTTCTCTCATTGCCTTTCACTACAGTTGACTCGGGAGGGTGACACTTCTACCTAGGACAGGTTTGCCCCAAAAAACGAGGCATAACCAGGTGCCATCACAGCAAACACTGTGTTAACTACTTCGAAATATTGAAATCTTGTAGAGCTCGTCTGTTGTCAAGCTTCCCAAGTAAAGACGTACAATAAGGTTTTGTCAGGTGCCACTCAACTAAAACATTTTCCGTTTGTGAATTTTACTACCTCTCTGCATCATTCCCGTTGGCGTCTCTGCGAAGATTCCGTGCAACACCTCGAAGTCTCTGAACCAAGTGCAGAGTTGATTCATTCTGGACATTGTAATGATTCAGAGTAAGGTCGTCTTCTAGCTTCTTGCCAGCAAATACCAGACGTAGCCGATCTGATGGATATTTGCATAATCGGTGAATCTTCTTCTTAACATTACTGATAGAGTCGCTCGGGTTCACTGCTATGGTGGCCAATGTATCATCCATCATCTTGATTAAGATTTGTATTTCATCTGGGAAAAAAGAGTAAATAGATGTAGTTTTTTGATAATTTCAGCCGAAATAACAAGTTTGGAGCTTCCTCCAAAAGGTATGAGCCCAATATCCCTTAAGAGGTCAAAAATTAGTCTTTCAATCCTAACAGTTAACATTTGTTACTGCCCGCTACGCTCGCAGCAGACCTATTTCACTAAGATACCAGTTTGATCCCTGAGGTTTGTTAGTGGCACACTTTGCCTCGATTTTGTGTGGATCAGCAACACAGCTTACCATTACAACGTTGGCTCAAGCACGTGCTTTCTCTTCAGCGTCCTTTCGCGAAATATGATAACTAAACGATCTGCTCGCAGCACTTCACCTTCCAAAAGGAACTATTAGTTCTTTACTTTTAAAATGATGGTGACTACTCTTCATCAGAGTCGCTAATTTAAACAATCTTTAAAAAGAAGTTCGCTACCAGCTTACCAATAATATGAATATCCCGATCAACTTTCATTTTTCACATGACGAAAACCAGACTCATCATATCAACAATCATATCAACTGATTGCTACATTTGCAGGTTTGGTTCTCGCCAAGCCGTTCCAAAATAAACTTATTTGCCTTTACATTTTGTCTGTTGATGTTGTGTAGTAGAGTCAAAATTGACCGTTTTCTCCTGTGAATACATTCCGCATCCGTTGGTCAACTACAATGACTTGAATTTAGAAGAAAATTCAAAATTGAAGGTTTCAATCAATTTTCAATTTTTGTTTTCGGAAGAAGAATTGATCACTCCATCACGTTCCAAGTTACAAAAGCACCAAGATGAGAGGTCCAACGTGCAGAAGTGCATAGGAGGGGAGGGGAGGGAGGGGGGAAGGGACTAAAGTGGGGAGGACTTGTCTATGCTACCCTCATACACAGGGCCTACTTAGCCTGGATGGGTATGTGCCGCTGGTGTCCTATTCGACCGGTAGCCTTGAAAAGAGTGAGAAGGTTGGCGATGAGCGGTTTACATGTGTGGTACAGTCAAACCCTGTTACTATGGACACTAAGGGGGCTATAGAAAGTGTCCCTATTAACGGGGTGTCCGTATTAAGCGGCGATAGAAAATGTAAGGGCTTTCTTTCCCCAAGAACAAAGCAAACTGTCCATAATAATAAGGTGTCCGTATTAAGCGGGTGTCCGCAAAGCGGAGTTTGACTGTACCAACCAATTTTCTTTTTTTTTTTTTTAATGAAGTTAGTTAAAAAGATTACTTAATTGGGGCGCGCGAAATGAATCCGGGTCATAAAATTAGGTCTCTTGTTTTAAAATGGGTCTGGAAACGAGCGATTTTGTCTTAAACAGGATTAGGGTTTGAAGGCCTCGGCGGCACACCTCTACCCAAACTCCCCCTAAGACTTTAACCCTTAAGAGGAGCTTGTTTGTAGTGGACCTTGTTAGCAATTCTCAGTTGTTCTTTTTTTTTACAAGACTTTTAAGGGTTGTTCCGACTGTTCCGGCAGTACAAAATTATTTTGCTATCTTCAGCAAGTAACAATCAGCTCTCTCGAACTTCCATTATCCTACATCCTCTCTCCTCTTCTTCCTTTATTTTCTCCCCCACACTTGGTATAAGAAAAATGAGAATTTTGATGCACGCCATAGCAAAATGAACAGGCAGATTTATCTACTGTAAAAAAAAATACGTCAAGTTTGGTCAATGTTGGATTTCCCGAATTTCCCGCTTCTCTTCAAAAGCTCGTTCTCGAGACCTATGCCAGACAAGTACAAGGACCGACACAGAGCCTCACCTCCCCACTTCAGTCTCTTCCCCCCTCCCCCGATCCGTGGGTTATTCGTCCATTTCAATTCAAAACAAAAACTGAAAGTCGATGTCAATGTTTGATTTTGTTATCTTTTTCTCCCTGCATAATGGATAAACATGTTTCATTCACATGTTTCACCTTTTTTGCCGTTTTCCCCTGTGATCAAAAATGAAAAAAATAAACACACAGCTCTTATTTTGTACAGTGAAAATTAAAACGACAAATCAAGCGATTAATATTTTAGCTATTAGCGTGAAAACCGTTTCTGCAGTAATCTGTCAACTACAATGACGAGAATTTAGAAGAAAATACAAAATTGAATGTTGCGATTAATTTTCAATTTTTGTTTTTCGGTGGAAGAATTGATCAATTGATCAATTGATCAAAGGATAAAAGTACCTAAAGGGGAGGACCAAAGTGTAGAAGTGCCTAGGAGGGGAGAGGAGGGAAGGGGGAAGCGACTAAAGCGGGAAGGAAGGGTCCTTGTATTTGTTGTGCTTGTCCATGCTGCCCTCATTTTCAGGGCTTACTTGGCCTGAACCAACAATGTTTTTCGGAAAATCTCAGTTCTATTATTAAAAAATATTGGTTTAAAAAATTACTTATTTCTGTGTGCAAAACAAAATGAATCACGATCATGAAGTTACTTCTCGCCTTAAACAGGGTAAGGGTTTGAAGGCCTTAGCGGCACACCCCTACCCAAACTTCCTTTGAGTGCCCCCTCCTCCCTCGAGATTTACCCTTAAGGGGAGTTTGTTTTAAGACCACAATTTTTTTCCGAGAGTTTTAAGGGTTGTTCTGGCCCCACGAAAATTCATTCCTGTCTTCAGTACGTATTAGTCAGCTCTATTTCATTATCCTAATCAGTCTCTCCTCCACTTCGTATCTTTTCTGCCCCTACACTTGAAAGATTGATGCACGCCATTATAACAAAGTGAACAGGCAATGAAGACCAATATGCAGTAAAAAAAAAGTACAAACAAGCAAGAAAACTTCGAGCAAAAAGACGCAACCGAGCAACAATTTCATTCGTACAGTGATCCATCTCTTGATTTGACAGGTTTGACTTTCCGCGTGTATCCCATTCTTCAAGCAAAATCGTCTTACAGGCCACGAACTAAAGCCTTTGTTTCCAGGATACGCTTCTTGTAGAAACCAACTGACTTGTGAGTGTGTTTTCCCCTGCGTAACAACAAGATCTCTCACGAACTCGATGTTTCTGTCGTCCATATTTAGGCCGAAAACACTTCCGCAATGTTGGACTCCTCGCTTCTTTTCTGAAACTGGTTCCCAGAAACTATCGAGGACAAGTACAAGGAGCCTTCCTCGCCACCCTGTCAGTGAATTTGTCAGGAGCCGATAGACCTTTGTCACGCGGCGGCCTTTTTATCTCCGGAGATTTAAAAGCTTCGTTTATGCAAGGCTAGCGTAGTTCTCTCTACGAGGCTAGTCCTGCATAAACAAAGCTTTTTAAATCTTCTGAGACAAAATGGCCACCGCGTGATAAAGGTCTATTAGCCAGAAATCCTCAACCTCCACATACCAGTTTAGGCCAAATTAGCTCCGTAACTGAGGGTAACATGGACAAGTAAAAGGCCTTTCTTCCCTCGCCTTCCCCCCCTCCCCCGCCTCCTGGGCATTTCTGCACTTGGGTCCTCCCCTCTTGGTACTTTTGTCACTTGGAGCGTAATCGATTGATCAATTCTTCGTCCAAAAAACAAAAAATTAAAAAAAATTGATTGCAACATTCAGTTGTCAATTTTTCTTTAGAGTCACGTCATTGTAGATGATGATGACTGCGGAAATGGTTTTCCCGCGAATGGCTCAAAATATCCATTGTTTTTTTTATAGTTTTTGCTTGCAGAATTTAATATGTCATAGTTTAATTTTGACTGTAGAAAATCTTTATCCATTATGCAGGAAAAAAAGATTCAAAAATCAAAAAGTGACATCGATTTTCAGTGTTTGTTTTGAATTGAAAATGAAATGGACGAGTGACCAACGCCTGTCCCCCCCCCCTCCTAGGCACCTTTCTGCTCTTGGGTCCTCCCCTCTTGGTACTTTTGTCACTTGGAGCGTGATCGAAGGTCATCGACTCATCATTTCTTTGTCCGAAAATAGATCGTAACATTCAATTTTGAATTTTCTTCTAAATTCATATCATTGTAGTTGACAGATGACTGCAGAAACGGTTTTCCCGCGAATAGCTAAAATAGCTAAAATATCCCTGGTTTGATTGCCGAGATTTAAAAGGCTTGGCATTTTTGCATATTCTGGCATCGGTTTGATGAAAATATTTGCGAGCGTAGCCGGTCGGGAAACGATAGGGAGGTGGAAAAGTGGGTCGGCTCGACAGCGCATTCGACAGCTCATCGACAGCGCATCACCGGACCCTAATGTCCTACTTTGTGAGCAATGAGTTTCATATGCTAGTATCATTTTTTGTTCTTATTTTTTCGGAACATAGTTTTAATCCAGACTAAACTGCTGCCAATTTTAGAGTGGTTTCACCTGCCCACATAAAAGATTCTTAGGAAATAATGTACCCTTTTATATTTCAGGTACGTTCAGTGGCTATGTAATAATATGATATTTTAGACTATGGGTAAAAGTTCAAAAAACGACAATGCTAACTGTTTTTGAAGATATGTTTCAGTAAGGTATAGAAGGTCTAGAATAATTAGTACCTACGTCATGGATGTAAAGTAGGGTCAGTGTAGAATATGTTGTACCTCTCACTATCTGCGGTCAAAAACGTGAACAAGAAACGGCGAATCTGATTCGCAAAGAACACCGTGACCACGAATACTTTGAACTTACCCACACGTGGTACGTGGGATGTACTTGGAATAGACATCACGAAATCTTTGCTGTCAAGAAAAACTGCCTCAGACCCCCATTGGTAAACTAAACGCAGACTAAGAACCGCATCTGTCTTTGATGTTACACTTCGCATCGAAAGAGGGCACTGTGTGACTTCTGACCTGTTCAAATCTACTATGTGCTCCCGCAATTCTTTTCTCAGGACGTCTAATAGCTCTAACAGTTTCTCCTTGTGTGCAGCAAAAAAGCCAACGCGGAGATTCTCCGAACCTTTGACTTCCGTCAGCACTACTGTGACATCGTGAAAACAGGTTACACATTCTTTGAGAGCATTCTTGCTCGAAGCTGCTAGCATGGCTGTTGACTGAAAAGTTCCTTTTGAATAGGTATCTCCATTGACGTACACACGTGCGAAGGCATGTAGGTGAAGCTCATCGTTGGACCGTTTCTTGATGCGGAACAACTCAGAGTACGTGTTAAAGAATTGGTCATACTTGACTCCTTCACGGGAGCAAGACAAAGGAACATTTTCTGAGTCACTTAGTTCAAACCTCACTAGTTTTGAGGGATCAAACTTTGCGAAATGAATCAGACTCAATAAAACATTAGAGAGATCATGTACAGAGAAATCATCAATTTTATCACGGTTGGCCATGATGTCTTTAATGCTGCAAGAAAACAGGTCAAGTCTCTTGTGCGATCTTATATCTTGCCGACAGCACTGGAAAAACGGCTTCAGAAAGTTCAGCATTGGGACAACTGCCAGACTTTTGCTCCATTTTTCAATTTCTGTGTTTGGCTGATTACGGTCATAATTTGCCATGCACAATTGCTCAAGAATATTGCAGAACTCGCAAATAAGCAGGGGCAAATTGTCGTTTTCTTCAGCATTCCGCAAAGCAGACACAAAATTGCCCAGTTTGTCCTTAGGAAGCCCTCTTAAGCCATTTTGGGGAACTTCTGACATCCCGTCCTCTATAAAGATATCCTTTATGTTCTGAATCAGGTAAGGGACAATCACCATAAACGTTTTGATCATGGATTCGTGCGACGACTCTTCGTGTAATTGATGGTACTTTTCTGCAATATCTTCTGGGATTGGACGAAGAATCTCCATTGACTGAATGAGATACTCTGCGTGATTTGTAAAGGAGGCTGCTCTTTCAACATCGTCGGAAGAACTTTCTAATTCAATGCAACAGTCCCTGAACACAGACTTGGAAAGGGCTTGTATTTTGTGAATGAAATAGCTCTGTGAATCAGCATTCATGCATTGCAAACCCGAGATTTTGCGTGCAAGTTTTCTTACGTGCCTTATATACATCTGTCCTCTTTGTGTTACTTTGATATCTGGTGAGAATAAATATTAAAAAACGAAACCTATCAGAAGGGGGGGCAGTGATAAGTGGCTCTAATCATTAGTTTTCGCTACTGAGAATTTTTTTATAGATGAACGGAATTAACTTAAATCTTGGAAGATATAAAAAGGAGGCGTTCAAAAGCTTTTTCAGCAAAAGGCAATTTACTAGACATATTATAAAAAGACAAAAATATTCGTCTAAGGAATATATATATATATATACATCCGTTTTCAAAAAGGTTTTCATACAGAGATAGATATATATACTTTTGTTTTCTTGCACGTAAGCTGTGTGCATTTTTCACTTGTCATTGTCCAACATGTGAAAAATCTCGGTTCAAGGATAAAGTTACTCTTCGTCAGGTTCTTTGTTCCAGTTTGACAAAAAAACGAGTGCACGATTGACGAATATTTTCCGTAAAGAATGCGGAACTCGGTCAGTTGTAGGTTATATAATTGTTGTTGTTACAGGATAAGGGGGAAAACCTCAAAGATTTTGATTTTTACAACAACGCAGATGAAATGAAAAAAAAAAGTGTTTTTGACACCGTTGACTTTTTTTTCTGAGAGGGAAGATGCAAGGTTGGATAATGTTCGCGATATTGAATATGTGGGATCTGAAGCAACAATATTGTAGCAGTTGATTAAAACGGACCAAGCAAGACGTTAACGAGGTTCATAGAAGTAGATCTAGATGAGCTGGTTATATATATTTAGGTCTCCTTTTTTCGTGTAAATCACAGCTTGAAAAGCAACGCCTCACTGAAGACAGAGTAAACTCTCGGCCTCAAATGTTTTCAAGTTAGTTTACTGTTTCTCTTTAGCACGCACTCTCTCACTCTCATCACTAAAAATGCTTCGCTTCTTGCTATAGATCGTTTTCACTGTCAAGCAACAAAAAAATAAATTGAAAACCGTCCTGTGGAAGAAGCCAAGAAAAAGGAAATGTTATAAAAGACCAATATATAAACAATTTGTTCAAGTCTAAGGTCTTTGTGGCCCACAGTTTCTAAGTTATTTGCCGAAACGTTTCACGACGTTTCACGGACCTTTGTAGAGCTTTGTATGGAGACGCCATATTGATGCACCGTTTTGGTGCACCAATATGGCTGCCGGAAATCAAGAGTTCAGGGCTTCTATAAAAGCTCTGTCTTTTCACTCGAGAACTAGCATACGAGCGCATAAACATATCTTCTAATACTTGAAATGGTTATAAACTGCTGAAAATCTTATCAAGAGGAGAGACTTTATTTCAACGAGACAGCATTCCCATTTTGGTGTCACGCACTGTGAAAACTCGGAAGTTCAAATTGTTGTATTTTCTAAATGAAACATGCAACGGGAATGGAAACTTGTACAAAGATTTACTTTTTGTTTATCTTCAACCTAGTGTAAATAAGAATTCGTAAAACCTCGCTATTTTGACTTTACAATTTTATGACGTCAATGTGAAAAACATCTATAGATGCCATGACATTTCGTCTACCAATTCGATGACTTCTGTTTCTACAGAACGACACAGAATAATTTGTTGAAAAAATCGTTTTTGTGTTACGCCTTAAATCAGCCTTATAATTCGCTGTTGCAAATTTGTATTGCAGGGCCGGCGCATGCCTTTTTTAAAAACTTCAAACGACATGTTCTTTTCAAATTGGAACAAAGAAGCCTACGAAGAAAAATTTTATCGATGATTAAGTTTTTTCACAAGTTGGACAATAACGGGTGAAAAATGCACACGGGCGTACGTGCAAGAAAACAAAAGGATATTTATCAATACATATCTCCCTATATGAAAACCTTTTTGAAAGCCAGTGTATATAACTCCGATTTACAACTCTATTAACTCCCATCCCTTGCGTTTAATATATATCGTTTTTATCTAAAATGGGCTCAAACATAGGGAGAATAGATTGGATATCTATGCTAAACAAACATGCTAAGGGCAAAGTAAGTACACAGAGGTAGTGTGCTATATGTTGTAAGTGAGTTTAATGTGTATTAGTCGCTATAAATCTTCTGAGTAATTTCCTTTCCGTGTTCGTTCCGTGGTAGCAAAGCTACCGACATTTTTAAAAGCCGGATAATCATTCCTTTGTAACTGGCGCAAGTTAAAGTTAGTAGAGAAGAAATCCAATAGAAAGAAAAAAATGTATAGTTAACGATGTAATTTGAATAGTAATTTTGTTCTTTTGGCAACATAACTACAGTTTTATGACCATCCAGGACCTACAAGAGAACGAACATTTTGGACAACTTACCCTTTTTTTTTAGGCTTTCGAGACTTTTCCTGAGAACAGCAAGGTTATCAACGAAATCTCTCTCCTTTGACCAGTCCTTTAAAATCATTTCCAGATCTTCGTCTTCATCGTTTTGAGATTTAGCAATTTGATTAACGGACTCTTCGGGAATCCCAAGCAATTGAGCAATAGGAATAACATTGAAAATAACTCCCTCTACACCTAGTAGGCTTCTTACATAGCCACACAGTTCTGTGAAAAGAAAAATATTGTACTAGCATTTAGGATGCTTTAGGATGTTATATTATAACTCTACGTATTGCTTTCAATGTTTGAATTCAATGTCAATATGCGCATCACTTCTTCAACAATGTCAAAAATTCTTTCATAAAATATAGGTTATCGTGTGCTTAAGATGTCAAAGCTCTCACACTAACCCCGTTCTCTGAAATGCCTCTCACTTGTATGTCCATACTCTCCTGTCACGCTGACCTTCCCACACAGACTTCTAACATCTTTTTTCCACTCAAGAGGAATTCTCATAACTTTTCCTTCATGCCACCAATCATAAGAATTTACGGTCAAACAAATACTTTCTTGCTCCTTGTTGGCTAGCTTGTAGTCTTCCCCAAGGCGAATTTTAATCTGAAGGGTTTCATTGTTGTAGATGCTTTTTTCCTCCTCGCTAGCAATGCAACGTACGTGCAGTTCTTTGAATCCTTCTTTTTTAAGTTGCATCAAAGCAGACGACGTCTCGTCTTCTCTATAGAATTGCTCACAGTAGACATCTTGGCTAACAAACAGAAGGGCAAGTTCATCATGCACTGAAGAGGGATTGCTCTTTAGCAACACAGACAACGTGTAATTAAAAGGTACCAAGTTGAGCCTTGATACAATGTCTTTGGTACAAAGCAAAGTAGATCTGCCTAATCTTAACAAAATCGCAATGAGTGAGAAATGATAAATTTCAATGTCTACTCCTGCACCTGCGTCATCAATCCTCGAGTTGTGAGTTATGTCATGCCAAGTAATATTTCCTTCCCTGGCCTTAAATCCGTGCAAAATGAAAACGTCGTGACATCTAAATCTACTCTCAATTTTTGTTGCCAGCGTCAAAGGTTTCTTAAAATAATGTCCACTGGGTTCAATATTAATGACGGGTGCACCAAACATGACATCATTTTCAAGATCCCTCCGAACAATTAGTTCATAGTATTTGGAAGGGTCGTCTAAGTGCAATGTTATACTCAAGGTTTGCAGGCGACTATCAAGAGCTCCAGGAGGACAGGCCAGTGTAACGCTTGGTCCAATCTTGAATACATTATCTTCTCCGTTGATCACAATGTTAGATGAAATTCGTCTGTACCTCGAAGGTGGGTTCTCCCTCATGGCCATTCTTGAGCCATCTTTAATTGTGGAACAAGAATAACAATGACAATTAACTAGATTATAATTCTGTTAATTTTTAGTGAAAACTGAAAAGTCAGCGATGCAGCTTGCAAAGACAGAGTGGCGTCCAAGACCCTGTAGCCGCTCGGGCTTGAGTCACGCAAGCACCCTGGGGCGAAGAATGGGCTGGTCTATATCAGAGATTTTGAAGCCGTTCAACAAGCTCGCAATCGTGTATTATCAAGACGGTTAAAAAACTCTCGGCTTCCTCTCGAGTTTCAATCTCGTACCTACATCTCTTGTTTAAACGACCACAATCCAGAAATCAACAACCCGATTCCCGATGATAAACTATACAACCATTTTAGTACTCTTCACTCCAACTCTGAAGACCCGCTACTAGTGATCATGATTCTCTAAACAAACTTGATGACCCCATTTCTGAAACTGACATCATATCCGCTACCAAAAAACTTAAAACTAAAAAGGCACCTGGCCTAGATAGAATTCGCAACGAAATGTTGAAATGTGGTATTCATTACTTTGCATCCTCATTATCCATTCCTTTTAACACTATCCCAAAATCTGGCTATTTCCCTGCAAGTTGGTCAAAAGGAATGATTACTACAATCTATAAATCGGGTGACAAATCTGATCCTTCGAACTACCGTACAATTTGTGTCTCTAGCTGTTTAAGCAAATTATTTTCTTCCATCTTGAATCAAAGATAACACAATTCCATACAACAACGCAGCTTGCTACCTAGGATTTCGCACTAGTGATCATCTCTTTTCATTACGTACCATTATTGATAAGAATGTAACCCGTACACCTAAAGGTAAACTCTTCTGCTTTTTTATAGATTTTATAGCTTTTGACTCCGTAGGGCACCCTGGACTATTTAAGAAACTTTCACATTACGGCATAACGGGTTCAGTCTAATATATAGATTTAGCCAGGGCTAAAAGCGAAGCTCTGGTTAATAATACAGGTAAACAAAAAAAAATAAAATCGTGTAATGCCAAACGGGGACGACAATGAAAATGGCTTCAAGGCTAGTAGATCTAATTAGCGGAAAAACAAATTGCAAATGCGGCACACTTTTTCTTCTAATTAGCAAAAAACAAATTTGCACGTGCCGCACGCTTTTTTGTCTTTCCCTTGCCGTTGTTTTGCACGACTACAACCCTCTTTTGTACGACTAAAACGTCAAACGTCCTAGTTACACATTATTTTTATGCAGGAAATGTCGTATGTGCTTACCCAATATTTTGTTTCCTGTGCTCATGTTCGCTTTTGTTTTTCACTGCCGCTCATTTTCACCTTGCTGGCCGTTAGCATTTCTCATTTTCTCACCGCCGCTTTAAATTTCCATGTTTTTCTTCCTACGAAATTCGTGTCCTTTGTTTTCAATAACTCGCTCTAGCTCTTTCTCTGTTATCCAAGTTAATTTAAACAAAAAAAAAACGCCGAAAAAGACACGACTTTGTTGTTGTTTTTTCTTTCTAAAAGTCCGGGCGGCCAAGTGATTTCCTTCCAAACAAAACTTTGAGTTGCATTTGGGTTGCCATACCTGTTGATTGAGTTATTTTACATTGGTATGCCTGTGGTGCGGACGGACGGTCGGGTGGGCGGTCGGTCGGTCGGTGTACGGTCACGTGATTACCAAATTTTCTCGGATGGGTAGATTATCACATTTCATTAGCTATGGGGCTCCGCCCACGCGGGGCGCTTCGCGCCGCGCATGGAGCTCCGCTATAACATTCTCTTAAATATGTATTCACGTACGAAATGTAGCATAAAATGTTGGAACAAAAGAACTGATTATTTTACCTATAGAAGAGTTGTACGACAAGGATGTGCTCTTTACCCTCTGCTAATCAATTTATATTTAAATGAAATTCCCAATCTATTAAAAGCATGCAATTCTAATGACCCAATTATTCTCCAAAATGGTATACCATTAAGCTGTTTATTCTATGCTGATGATGTAGTTTTATTCTCAAGTAGTGCTACTGGTCTTCAAACAAACCTAAATATCTTTCAGCAATACTGCAAAAACTAGAAACTCTCCATAAATCTCAAAAAGACAAAAATCATGATATTTGAGAAACGATGCCGCAAATCAACGCTTGAGAAATATTCCTTTTTCATTGATGATGAAATTTCACAAGAGTACAATGTATTCCTATTTAGGACTTTCCTTTTGTGCTAATGATAACTTCTCAAATTCAAAGCGAATACTGATCGAAAAATGTAGACGCTGTATTTTTGCAACAAAAAGTTTTCTTGACTTCCAAAAATTATCAATTGATACTTGCAACAAACTTTTTAACACACTGTTCAAACCTACATTATTGTATACCTCAGAAGTATGGGGTGCGTATGACAAACTGAATCTTAATAAATGGGAACAGGACCCTGTAGAAAGATTTCAATTATACTCTCTTGGATTAAGCAAAAGGGCTTCCAATATTGTCCCTCGAAAGGAAGTTGGGCAAACATCTTTAAAACCCACAATTTATTTGAATGTCCTCAAGTTCTAGCAACATTTAGAAGACCTACCCGAAAATAGCATTGCGAAGCAGCGTCTCATCATATCAATAACATTAGCAAACACAGGAGAATCATTCCTTTATCTCTTCCGCATACCAAATACGCTCACAGTTTTGCAAAGAAGGAACAAACACAACAAGACTTGATGATGTTCAACAAATAAATAAATTAGAGATATCTAAATTGACACAAAACATTCTTAAGATAGCTAAAACACATCAATCCTCTCTCATTCAACTAAATAAGAAACTAAAATTTTACTCTCTTTTCAAACAAGAAAACAAGAAATCTCATTACTTGAAGCTTATAAAAAACACAAACCACCGACGCAAAGAGGCAAAATTTAGAACAAGCAATCATAAATTAACGATAGAATACGAGAGATACTGCACGCCAAAATTGATTCTATAAGTCACAAATATCCTAATTTTCAACCATTGATTGCAAACGATAGATTCCTTTATCTGCAAGAAACTTAGCCATTTTATTTTTCTGGCCTTCGAAAAACGTCAAAGTAGATCATTAAACATAGCTACAATATAGTTAGCATTTTCCGTGTAATTTTAGGCATTATTATTATTATTATTTACAATATATAATAAATGTTACTTTCTTTTCTTCCTTTTTTTCCTTTACCTTGACATAATCAATATTGTAATCGGCAATGCCATCTATTCATGGAAATGCCAATAAATATTGTTTTTCTAGTTGTTTAGGAACCCGAAGGCGAGATCTAGTCAAGTAAGAAAATTCAATTTTTTTAATTGGCTAACTTGTGAGCGAATGATGCGAGTGTAGTCGACCTCCTGCGCGCTATGTGTGCAAAGTCTTCAGTTCTGTTCAAATAAATAAATTTTGCGGTATCAAAATTAAGATCTTTGAAAAGGGTACACAAATTTTCCTGTAAGGGTGACGCTTACTGCTTTGAGCTTAGTGTTTAGCGTGCGTTATGATAATCAAATTTTAAACTAACTAGCTGTCGGTTCATAGTTAAGATATGCTTATAACCACGTTTTGTGAGAGAAAACTTTACGGCTCTCTCAAATTCGCTGTTTAACACGTCTAAATTTGAGGATTTGTTTCGAGCATGCGCTCTTTCATCGCTAGCCTGCAGTGCAGGCGTTTTCTTCGGACGCGCGAATGTTTTGCCTGCGAAAGCGCCATGTTGAAACTCGAAAAGAGAGGAGAAAATAGGGCGAGTCAAAAGGAGCGGGGTAGGGGGCGGGGAGAGAGAAAAAAAAAACGCCTTTTTTTTTTCTCCCCTCCCCCCTTTCCTTCTTTCGCCCTAGCACCTGCCCTAAGGGTTACTATTTTTACTCTCCCTAATCTTCGTCCGTCATAACATCAAAGATGGCGGTTACAACAATACCAACGCAAACACGCAGCTTTTGCCCGCCCAAAATACGCCTGCTACATTCCTGACAGGCAATCACGTGTACAAATCAGATTTGACCAGATCCCGCCTTCGTCTTCGTCAACAAGAGATCTGGGTACGAGATTACTTGAGTTTTTAAACCGGATAATACACTCTTGCTCGTTTTTTAAGCAGTAAATAACCAAAAAATGAAACAAAGGCATCATTAGGTGCAATGAAATGTATGGATAGACTGAAAAAACAAAACAAAACAAAACAGAACAGAACAGAAAAAAAGCAACAAAACGAAACAAAACTTTTCATACACGTTTTCGCTGCCCCGGTTTGGTAAGCTAGCGGAATGTCAAAATCTTCGTGTTCCTTTTCCCGACCAGCGAATACGATGTTAGATGATGATGATAATTTGTCGGAAACTAGTGGTCGTGGTGGTTGTGATGGAAGTATTAGATCCGAAGAGATGGAGGAGACTTGCTGACTTGATTCCTTGACCTTGGCTGTTCCTAAATTTCCAAGAAAAAGAAAAAAATAATTTGCCATTAATTAAAGGGGCTATGTCGAGAGGATATTGCTATTTCAGGTCAACAGGTCTGCGCTGAAGTCTTTACTCAGGGCCTTTACACATACCCAGAATGTTCCTGTAGAGTTATGAAGAATCCCACGGCAAAGTTCATGAAGGAGCACTAGCCATAGTACTTTTACATTGTGTGTGTGAATGATATAGGTTGTAAAACTTGGAGAGGTTGGTTCAATGTTTGTCCATCCTTGCCATCAGTTGCAAAAGACGACACGAAACAGTTTCAGTGCTTTTCAATGCTTAAATATAGTCTCATATAACAAAATTGGACCATAATGGTTGGAATTTAAATGAAGCGTAGACAAGATTTATCTTTTCACAAGACAGCAAAAAGCGTGACATAGCCCCTTAAGTGCATAATGAATATCATCTGGCTGCACTGTAGCAGAATGCAAGCTTTTCTGACATGTTCTAATTTCGGGCCCAGATTTTAAACCTAGACACAGACGCCAGCGAAATCTGCGAAGAAGTGATAAATGACAGTTATAAAGAAGGCTATTCTAGGGAAGCTAATCTATGCACACCCGTTTCTACTACCAAGGGTAGGTCATAAGCTAAATACCGGAAAGGCTCCTTTAATTTATCAGAAGGATAGGTAATGATTGTGCTGAGTGAGCCGTAATTTTGAAAAGATGGAATAGGCCTTCCTATGCGTCCTTTAACCTAAGCTCAATGGCCTTGGATGTCTCGGTAAGGGTGGTATTCCACAGTCGCATAATGTTTACGTGCGTGCGCACATAAATGAAATAGTGGCAATGCTGAAAGCCGCGCGTAAACGTCGGTAAAAGTTGAGCGAGGTTCAACTTTTACGTTTACGCGCTAGAGACGAAGCCTAGCTTTAGCTGTGCTGTACTGTGGCAAAAATACCATTTTGAAACAAAATCAACTCATTATAGCTTAGCCCGAAACTTACCTCAAAGTTAAAGTTGAGGTGCTCCAAAGACAAGCTAATTGTAGTAAGTTACTTGTTTATAAAATGACAGTAGACAGACGCTGTCAAAAATTCATGATATTTATCTTCCCCATTTTGATAAAGAACTTTAATATGTCTCTGTTGACACTGTAACTACCCTTCGAGGAGAGGCTACATTTTCGTGGTGTGAACAAATTTTTGCACACCATTTCTCCCGGCGAAAATGTAGCCTTTGCTCGCAGGGTACACTGAAATTACTTGGTTGCGCACTTCAATATCAGCTTATAAGGAACCTCAGGCACCCTCAATCAAACCGAAAGTTCGCAAGAAGAGAAAAACATTTACAGGTACTCAGGAAGGATAACTTCGAAAACGGAGAGCAAAAACGGACTTTTCCTCCTCTAAGCTTTCTACGTCCACTCCAAAATTTAGCTTATGACATCTGCAATTTTGCACTGTTTTCACTTGGCTGACGTAATTTGAACGAACTAATAGCAGTAACACAATACTTAAAACACGCAGCTTCAAGGATTGGGCGACAAATCGATACATTTTGTTTTAGGATTTTTAATCGACAGTCAATAGCTCGTTTTCTAAGTGAATATTAAGAGTAAAGAGAAAATCTCTGAAGGGGAGGGGGTACTCTTGTTCACTCACACACCCAAAAGTATACTACCCACCTTGTTCAACGCCTTGTTTAGCACGGACTTCTAAAAACGGAAACAGCTCCTCCTCCAACGTTTTCTTTGACGCTGTTAAGTCAATAAAATTTTTCTCATTAAATGGTTCGGGAAGTATATTCATTTCTACATTATCAATTTTAATAAAAACTACGCTTTCATCTCCTCTTTGTCGTGAAACAGAGACAGCTAATTGTAATTCATGAACGCAAACGTTCCTTTTAAGAAAGCCATTTGACAAGACGGCAATGGTTTTTCTGCTCTTTAAGATGAAGTCTTTAACGCGGTTGTCAGTAAAGGTTCTCCCTTGGACAAAATCTCTCTCGTCAACGTAACACTTTAGGCCATGATCCATTTCCAAAGTTGGTAGTAAGTTTCTTTGAACCCATTCAGTCGCATCCGTACGACTGTGTATGATGTAAAAATCATATTCAAAGCCCTTTTCTGGAGCTGGAATCAAAACAAATTATAAGGTTAACGTTACGCAACAAAATGATGAACATGAAACAATCATGGCATGGATGCCTTTTCATCCATTAACAACTAAAACGTGGTGTTATCAGATAGACGCTTCCCGGGAGGTATAGAACACATTGTAGACAGTAAAAACGACCTTGGTTTAAATGGAATAAAGTACCTGCATGGGGTCTTCGTCCTTGTCAGTACTTAAAAAAGGCTTAGTGACGTTTTGGAGAACGGACAGGTGATTCCAAATAAGGGACCTTGGAATAATTATCAAGAGGTAGTGGGGCTGCAAACCAAACAGCCTAAGGGAGAGGGCACCTTGAAGGTTTCTTTTAAAGGAAGGGGGTTGGCATCTAGGCATCATTAGGTGTAATCAAATGAATTGTTCTGAAAAAAACAAGAGACAGCACAGAACAGAAAAAAAAGCCATAAAACAAAACAAAACTATTCATGCACGTTTCTGTAGCACCGTTTTGGTAAGAAAGTTCTTGTTCCTCTTTCCAACTAATGACTTCAAAGTTAGGAAATGTTGATTATTTGTCGGAAAGTAGTGATGGTGATGGTGGTGGTGGTGGTGATTGTGATTGTGATTGTGATTGTGGTGATGGTGGTGATTGCGATTGTGGTGATTGTGATAATTATGATTGTGATTGTGATGGTGGTGATTGACCTTGGAACTTTTATCCGATTACTTCGAGTCGTTATAACTCCCTTAGTAATCGGATGAAATTCAGGCTATAACCATAATAATTTTATATTGTGCGTGTGATTTATATAGGCAGTAAAACTTGGAAAGGTTAGTTCAATACCATCCGTTGGAAAAGACGACACGAAGCAGTGTCAATACTTTTCAATGCTTAAATATAGTCTATATAACAAAATTGGACCATCATGGTGGGAATTTAAATGAAGCGTATAATGCAAGCTTTTCTAACATGCATGTTCTATTTTCGGGCCCAGATTTCAAACCTACAATATGGACAAAAGTCCCTCGGACAGCAATACAATATTCATATATTTCTGTTTTTTTCTGTTATTCTGGGTTCACTTTTAAAACAGTGCATCCTTTTCGAAATTTTCTTGCAGTTCTCTCTCCCCCCACCTCATACAATGTTGAAAGTCGGAGAAAATTCTGGATACACGCGTCCAACATTGTTTGTGGGGTGAAGATTCTCCCATACAGACCGACCTAGCTCGGTTAATAAGATGTTTATTATATGGCCAAACAAGAAAGCAAAGGAACAAAAACATAAACGGGACAAAAATAAATGTTCAAAGTCCAGCTTTGTATAAACTTCGTCAATGAATGAAGACAAAATGTTTCATACAGGCTCAATGAAAAAGCTTCTGGTTGAAACAACAATTTATGAAAAGTGACCAAAAGTGCAATTGCAGTGTAAGTAATGCCGGTTTGTGCCCCGATCGCTCAGTGATCAGTTCTCATTCAGCCTTGCGATCCTCGACTGATCACCACAGAAAACGTTGATGTTAAATGTGTAGCCTTCGAACTTGTCAATATGCGCTCCGGCAAAATTGCCTGACGCTGGATTTGTTGGACTGTGAAGACATTTTGTTGTGTTGTAGTGGAGGTACCCACTTGGTTTTCTTCGGAATGAGCCTATGCGCCTGGCCCACGATTCAGGATAGCAGACATTTCTCGCTGTCGCTTCAGAGATGTTAATGATTTTGTTTACGAACGGAGATGAAAAATTTGGACAAAAGAAGGTCGAGCTCATTGGCAGGTATGTTTTCAATTGCTGTAGACTCTTTCAATGACTCACAAAATTTCTTCCATGCGTTCAAAACGCTCTTAGTCTTGTATTGAGTTTTTTTTTGTTTCTGCTCCTGCCAAAATTCCTCAATTTCGACTTCATCTTTGCTCTAGCTTCCGCGGCAGAACACAAATTTGCCAACATCTGCTCATTTTCTTTACCGGCTTCCTCGTGAAGGTCCACTGATTCTTCCATTTAGTATTATTAACAGGAACAAATTCATAATTCATATTCTTTGTTTGTAGCTTTTTGAGGACAACTGTTACAACAAGATGGGTCTAGATGCCGATCTAGATGGGAAAATCTAGACTGCCGTCAAGATCGATTTTAGCGAATCAAATTCTTGAATTTGTTTGTTTCCAGTCATTTTGAGAGATGGCAACATAATAACATGACAATATTAATTATATTGACATCGATAACTCGGAGCTGCAACCCGTGTATTCGTGGGCAATGGGACTGTTCTGCATAAAATGGACGACTTTGTGTAACGTAGTTTGGAGGCTCTGTTCGTTCTAGAAGCTGCCGTCGAAAACTTTACGGTGCAAAAGGAATGAGTGGGGGTGGTAGCGGTGGTGAGAGGTGGGAGGAAGCAGTGAGGTTCGTCATAATTTATGAGCGATCAGGATGCCGGGGGACAGAGCTAAGCTTGCCTTTGCTGACAAGGGGGCGTTAAGTAACATTACTCTAGGTAAGCCGCATTCTTAAGACCCCTCCCCTCCCTCCTACTATAGTTATTGCACAGTTCCTAATAAAATACAATTGAATCGAAAAACAAATTGTTGAACGGATTTGTTAATAATCTAGTATACAGAACAAACTATTCTTATCTCTGCCCAAATCTTCTCACATTTCCAAAAACCTACAGAAGGACACCAGTAAGATCTGGCTATGAGATCAAGCTTTTCTTTACGTCCCCTGTAAAGGGCTTTTCTTATTGTACTCCTGTACATTTTCACACACAGATGTACACGCACCAACCTTCTCTGAGGACTTGTTTAGTACGGACTTCAAAAAACGCTTTCTTTGATGTTGTCAAGTTATTATTGTTTAGGTAGGTAGGTAGATTCTTTATTCAAAACTCGGTAAAATCTTCAGTAATAGTAGAGTAAAAATCTAATTACAATTAATTAGACTAATTATACTACTACATGAAAAATTACTGTAATTTGATTGGCTTAGAGCAGTGGTATTTCGGCTTAATTTGAAATACCTACATGTGAAAATTACAAACCTTTTGCGGGTAGTAGTATAAACAAATAATGGCATGATTTGTACGTGATATTTGGCATAAATACCACTCGTGATATTTCAAAATTGTCTCAAATTTCACTCGCCTAACGGCTCGTGAAATTACGCATGACAATTTTGAAATATCACTCGTGGTATTTATGCCAAATATCACTACAAATCATGCTATTACCTATACAAACTAGTGACATACTGTTTTACAAGACTGCCGCCGAGTGAGAATCCGACGACTCAAATAGATGATTGATTTGCTCTTTAAATTTACTGACTGATTTAATTTCTCTCACATTTTCGGGTAAAGAGTTCCACAACAAAGCACCGCTGTAACTAAAACTTCGTTTCAAGTAGTTAGTACGCGGCCTGGGCAACGTCAATTTATGAAAGGAATTGCGCAAATCATAGTCTGTGCTTCGTTCGTGAAATAGGTTCTGCAAGTACACTGGAGCTTGTTCATTTAGAGATTTAAACATCATTATTGCTTTATGCTTCTTTCTCCTTATAACTAATTTGTCCCATTTGAGTATATCAAGAAGCAGGCTCGAGCTAGTCCCATAGTTGGCCTTTAAAAATTACTCTAGCTGCACGGTTCTGTAACTTTTGTAATTTGTCACTCAGTTGATCACTTAAGCCATCCCGAACGAGGCTACAGTAATCAAAGTGAGGTTGAATTAAGGAGTTATAGACTAGTACCGCAGTAGATTGGGAGATAAGGGGCCTGATACGTCTAAGGGCACCTATGGCCGAAGTTACCTTCTCACACAATTCGTTAACATGCTTAGACCAGGAAAGCCAATTGTCGGTAATGAGACCTAATGATTTTGCGTNTTCTGGCTCCTGTTACCTAGGTAGGAGGCAAAGAATCGTAGGGAACCCAGATCAAGTCCTTAGTTTGCAAGTTTACGTAACAAAATTGCATGGTCAATGGTGTCAAAAGCCTTTTTAAGGTCGATATATACCACACCATTTAAAAGGCCGTTATCTATATTAATAGACCAGTTGTTCGTTGTTTCAAGTAGCGCTGTCATGGTGCTATGGAGCGATCGAAAGCCGGATTGATAAGTATTCAAGATTTTGTGTTTATCTAAGTAATCGTAGAGTTGTTGATAGATAATTTTCTGGAATAGCTTTGAGACAATTGGCAATACAGAAATTGGTCTATAGTTATTCAGGTCAGATTTTGATCCTTTTTTAAAGATAGGAGTCACCTTGGCGATTTTCCATTCATCTGGAAAGGTTTCTGTTTCTATACAACTATTAAAAATTTTCGTTAATGATGGTCTAATAATGGAACTGGCTAATTTCAGAAGTTTACAAGGAACTCATTCAATGCTTTAGGAAGTCTATTCATTAGAATATTATAGCATAACATAGAATAAATTTTTAGCTCAAAGGGACACTTAATTAACTGGATTTACCCCCTGGCATTGTGGATAGCTGACACTTGATATCGTGAAATTATAGTGACGTGCCGTAAAATTCCGAAAATAAGCCCCTCAAAATATAAGCACCCCAAACCGGTAACGTAAAAAAACCCTCCGTTAAATCGCCTCTCCAAATATAAGCCCCCCCGGGGGCTTGTAATTGGAGAATAGCGCTTTCCACTATTACTAAAAATAGGTTTTGTCACCTTAGACTCCCCACGTTACTCAGACAAACTTCGCATTCTACTGCAAGGCTTTGTATGGGAAACATGGGTTTCCGACATGAAAATTATTCATAAAATTCGCAGTGAGCGTTTTTAAAATGTTTTTTGAGCCTAATTCCAATATATAAAAGGCACTACTGCTATAGGGAGCAAAACCTGGTCCAGTAACTCAAATAAATGGTTAAAATCAGAAAATAAAGCGACTCAATCAAAGAAGCAACCTCGTCCCCAGGGTCTTCTCGCTTTCCAATATGGCGGCGGCAGGAGAGAAGACCTTGGCACACAGCGAACTAAAACGATCGCTGATTGGTGCATTCCATTGCGCGTTCATACGTGGGCTCTCATTGGTTTATTCCTTCCAAAACAAAGAGGGCTTAGTAGAGGCTGAGAAGTGCTTTCTTCAGTGTAAGGTGGACAGAATTCGGGTCTGATTGTTCGGAAAACTGTGACTATACCGTTGGAAGGCAAAGATTCGAAGATAGTGATATCTGAAATGGTAATCGCTGGGAATATTATAAGGCGTAGAGGTATTTCAGTGTTGCTCCTGCTATTTGGTTTGTGTGTTCTAAATTACTAAAGATTTGTTTATTTAATTCCCGATCTGTCAAAGAATACTTGCAAGGCTTCAGCTTATCAATAAATTTAGCTGTCCGTTTGTAAAGGTTTAGTATTGTTCTGCCTTTTGTTTTCTTTGAGCAATAGCTGTATGCATAATATTATTAATGTATGGGATTATACGGAAATCTTGCATAATCTGTGCTTTGTCTCAGCAATTTTTTGTCTAGTGAAACATTTTTTTTTCATTTGATCGTAACATGCATGGGCCTAACCTGGCCTTCTTTTAATGTTTTCCACTGTGATTTTAGAGGGGGGTGAGGAGCGAGAGAGGCAGATGTCGAAACAAAACTAAAAATTGAAGCCAAACATAGTGTCGCTATCCTTTGATATTTTTAATCCTGACTTTTCATTTACTCAGTTTTTAGTGTCACAATAATGATAATTTATTGGTATTTGCTCATTTCATAGGCAATAAAATACAGTTAAATACAGAGACATTGGGAAAATAAACTGTTTCCTTTTCTCAGAAATGAAAAACTTGCATATTAATGTATTGAAGCTTTTGGTATTTCTTTTTAGTTGCAAAAATAAAATAATGAAAGCACATGATGTCTTTTATTTTATCAAGTTGAAAACAGTGATCAGCCCATGCAAGGAAATCTGACAGTCAATTCTGCGCCATGGATACTGCATTCTGGATTCTTTGTCAGTGGAACTTGGATTCCGGATTCTAATCATAAGTAGGATCCAAACTACTTGACCTCTATTCCAGATTCCAAGAGAAAAATTTCCCAGATTCCGGATTCCCTTACATGGGGTGACAGTGATCCTAAGATAAATATGTTTTCTGTCAAACCAAAACCTGTTAATTGAGCTTCTAATTACTGTAGGCTAAGTGTGCACGTTGTTCTTGTCACTATATGCTTGAAAAGGGGGTTTGTGGACCAGGTTAAATAGTGGCTGGCATTGTACTGTTCCAAAACCAGCTGGTGGGTATGATAATGAAGCAGCTGTAATTCAGTTCTAAAACTTGGAAATAAAAAAATAAACTGCTTCAACGGGTGCATATATCACTATCCACTGAATATACAAGAGCGGAAGGGGCCTGCAGCGTCTTGATCATGAGATTTTTCATGTAGGGATGCCAAGGCTTTTGAAGTGTTTTACGCCAGAGTCGCCATTAGCATAGTGAGCTTTTAGTTGCCTAGTCACGGCCAATGAGTTTCGGGTTACGTGGTCCCTAGCGAAGTAGTGAGGCAGTTTCCCTCCAGTTTGCCTAAGATAAGTCACCGAAATGAGTTGACCAAGAAGGCCTGCGAAAATGCCACACAGGGACAAGGCAAGGCTTTTAGCTTGTTTAGGTGTTGGGCTGTGAGGTTGCAGCTGTTAGATGCACTGGCTTAAATATTTCCAAAATCTACTTTAAGGTGTTGGTTAGTCTTTATAGTCATAGTGTCTGTATCATAATCATATCTTTAGAAATAATCAGATGAACCCAACTATTAAACTGATGATCGATTATAGTAGATTATAGTTTTGTGACCCCTGTACGCCACTTTCAACACTGAAAATAATTTTGTAAGTGAACAAAACAAAAAACCTACCCTGCAAGCAGAGGCTTATCTGTCACATAGTTAAACCAACTAAACGTCATGTAAACTACATTAAGAGCCCATCAAAAAGACAACGCAGGTGTATTAATTTCCTTATTTGTCAACAATGTTTTTGTGAATTTTCCACAATCAATTGAACATTTGTGTAAGCAATACTCACTGTGCTTCAGGTTTCTGATCAATGATAGATTATGATCGATAATCAGCACACCACTACCAAGTCATGTCTCAACTAGAGTACGAAAGGGACCATCTGACGAGCAAAGCGTGTTTGACTTAAAAGATCTATTATCTTCAAATGAGATAGGAACTTTATGGTGCACATGACTCAGATAGGACTATCCCCAAGTAATATGTAAAATAAACCAAAGTCAGGGATTTAGAAGGTTTTTGCTCTAAAAATCTGATCTATTTCAAAGTGGAGAATACATTTTGGATAACTATATCACAAACAATGGAAACACTCTTCACCTTTTGCTAGCTATTAAAGCAGGGTTAGTGCTTTTTTTTACATTTAAGAGGCAAAAAACCAATAATAACAACATCTTAAATCCTCTATTAAGGCCCCCTCTCTCAAATAACCCTCCTTTTCAGTGGAAGAAAGTTTTGACAATAAGCCCCCCTCTCTTTTAACCCCCATCCCACCTCCCCCTTTTCTTATTCTTCACTAATAAATAAAAGACTGTATCAATCAATGACAACTGTAAAACTTTGTGTGGACCGATCCAGGATGGTTTATTCACCAACTGTAAGTTCGGATTTGTTTCTGATCGTTCTTGTACTTGGGCTTTTTGACTTGGCATTTTTTTTTTGTGGGGAACTAATACCAGCGTCTTTGCTAGATTAAATAAGGCCCCTATCTCTATACTATTGCCTGGAAGCATTGTGAACAGGGTTAGATATCAAAAGTCAATAAGAAAGTCTAAAAATTGTGAAGTAGATGAAGATTGACAATAATTTTATTACCTGTACCAGTTCAAGTGACAAAATAGCCAAACTTTAACGGTAGTGAACAAGGAACTGTTTTATTTTCAACCAAAGTTTCCTCAAATTATATTAACAAAATAGTGTTCTCTGGTTCTTGTTTTCGGGAAAAAATTATTTTTTTACATATCAGAGTTCAGTTAAAATGTGTGCAGATAGAAAAACAATAGTCGAAAACCTCATGAAGATCCGTAACAAAACTGACGAAAACTTATCAGCTTAAAGTGGCTGCAACTCAATTTAATTCTTAGTTGAATTTCGGAGCGGAAGAGGTTTTAGAGCGTTATAACAAAAAAATCCCGTGGCTTCAGAGGTCTGTTCTCGAAATTCCGAAGATGAAATAAATTGCGCTCACGGTTAGAAAGAGCTCCCCCTTTCACGAAAGAAGAAAACTGAACCTCTGGCACTCAGAGTAGGCAAAAAAAGAAACAGTGAAAAAAAGGCCAGTATCGAGAAATTGAGTTGAAGACAGTTGTTAAGTGCCGTGTAGTGCTAAAACGTTCAGGCTTAAAACAAATGAAGGTCATTGAGCAGAAAATAAGATCGCTATATCATTCTACCGTATTCCTGTGGCTTGTAAGTGCATTCTTTCATATTTTCAGCTTCTTTTGAGTTTGCCTTTGCCGCCATTTTGTTTGTTTTTCACCGGTCTCAAAACCTCGTACCCAGATCCTCTCACTCTTCATCTTGGCCGCCATTTTGAATACATTTCCATTCTCCGTGGACAAATCAGTCACGTGATTTCTGCCGTGTGCCAGGGTCTTCTCTCCTGCCGCCGCCATATGGGAAAGCGAGAAGACCCTGGGGACGAGGTTGTCAAAGAAGGCTACTGAAATCGGATCCCGAGCTTTGTGTCTTAGGCAGAAAGCACTGCTATGTACTGAAACATGACATAACATTATTGGCTGTGTAATACTCCAAAACCGAAATTGCTAAAGAGAAAATTGAGTTTGGATGTGCTTCTCGCAAGCCTGTGACAGAATATCATGCCATGGCCAGAAATTCCA